CCCAATTATTGCTGGGAGAGAATCGAAGAGGACAGCTCAGCTGATATTTAATGATACCTGATTCAAGATCTAGCGACTGCTTGCTGATCATGCTTGTAAGTTGGTTTATTCTGCAGGTAACCCAAGAGCAAACGATGAACCAATGTACCCTGTGGGATCTAACATGGCATCATGGTACTGGCAAATCCATAAAATCACATTTGTACGTATGTGTAATGGGATGGTCATCGATAAATGGGTACCACTGGGTGGTTTTCCATTGCCAAGCTGGTCAGGCAGCTGCGACCTTGGCGAATCTCATGTGGGCTCCAGATCTCAACCAAGAGCAGCTGGCTGGACGACTCAGATTTTGATGAATGCTGGGTGTAATACTGAACTTGATTGATATGATATGGGGGTTTCCTAAAATTGGGGTATCCCCAAATTATTCATTTTAATAGTAATAGGGCTTTCCATTATAAACCATCCATTTTGGGGTAGCCCCATTTATTGAAACCTCCATATGTTAGAAACAGCTGGACGTGATTCGATGGGCGCAATTCGGTCGTTGAGTATTTTGTTATGAATTGACTGATGACTGGGATGTCTCTGCAGTGACCCTGAAATCTACTGATAGCTGGGGTCAGCTGGTCATGGCGCCAAGGTGTGTTGGCTGAAGTTTGATGGATCAAGGCCAGAGAAAACTGCTGCTTCCTCAAACTAGAGCACTGGCAAAGATACACATTGGGGTCGATCATTCCAACACTTGGACACTTGGACGTCGTTCCATCCCATGCTCTACAAAAGATTCCCCGAAAATCGCTTGAGGAGCGGTAGTCTGACATAGTCTGGTTTCTAATGATGGTTAGTTTATACATAAGCTGCATAAGCAGGTACACCCAAATTTCAGAAACACCAAACTAAACTGAGCATGTTAAAACATTGGCGTGGTAGGTCATAACTTTGCAGCGTCGAAGAAGAGGGAACACAACACAGCTGCACACAACTGTGGCGGCCCTTGGTATTTCAGGATATCATTGATTCACGTAGTTACCCTAGGGTAAACTAAGATTGATGTGGAACATGACCCAATCACAGATGATTTACCTATTAAGAATCATCAATCACCATGATTCACCATCAATCACCATGAATCAGCCCACCTTCCTTCCTGTGCCAGTTGCCTTACAGTGGACGCGGCCAATGTGCTGCTCCCGGTGCGCGCGGGTGACCCGAAACCCGTGGCCATTGGCCAGGGCATGTGTGGAGCCTCAGGGTGGAAGGGTGTGAGGTGGTTGGTGTGGGCAAATATCCAGCGAAAGATGGGAAGTTTAACATAGATACATAAATGATATATACAAGTCTAATCAAGTATATAATCATTTACATATTATACAGACTTGAACAGAAACACAAACATGCATTTAAGAAACACTTACAAAGCAAGCAACCTGCAAGAACTTTTAAAAATGAGGTTTTGCAAACAAACATCCAATACGTGCAACGAGAACTTGAGGAATTTACTGCTGATTTGTGTGTATTGCAATGCTCGTCCATCCCTGTAGTACTCAGCATTTTGGGGCCAAAATCGATGTGCCTATTTTTCAGGGGACGAGTCGAAATCAGGAAGTAACAGGGTGTGCTATCCCCCACATTATAGGTGGATGGGTGTGGAAGGTTCCAGGTTCCTTCTTGTTTCCCATCATCGATTGTTGGTTTAAAAATTGAGGATCGCTGGGAAAATTGGCCCCAGTTGACCAGCAATATCTAGCAAGATCCGATCATATCCACCGTTTTCCTGGGGATCTCCAGTTTTCCCAGTTGCCAGGTACAAATCCACATGGGGAGTGGAGTTCGTCAGTGACTCTTGCCACTTGGCTTGAAAGGAGGGTGTGACTGAACATATGGTACCTCTAAATCCACCAGTCTATAAGTATGTGTGTATAATATATATATATATAATTATATATATAATTATATATATATATATATATGTCCTTCACTTTTCTTTTAACAACGGCCGTTAAGAGGCCATACTATATCCCATTTGTTGACAAACCCATGTCCATTACTTGTGATATGTTTTGAACACATGGCGAACTGTATCTGTATCTCAATATCAAAAGATTGTAAATGCACCTCACGTCAAATTCCAGGTGGCTTACTGCACGACTTACAAGACTGGGATGAACCCTGGACTTATTGCTCCCTCATCTATCAGGATGATTGACCCCTAAAGCATCCAAAAACAAGAAATAAATGGAGTCTAGTGTAGTGGATTATATTTGGAGACACCCTACTTGCCAACCATCAATTCTACCTGTCCTACCCTGAGCTTGATCATGGCAATTTCCCGAGGTCTAACCTTCCATCCAGATGGTTTCAAGACCTACAACGTCCCTGCACTCCTTACCACGGTCAGCGGCTTAAATATATTAAATGCGATGCAGGTTCAGTGGTGATGATTTGCACTCCCCATTGTCAAGTTTCAGTACCAGTGGGTATTTCTTGATTTCTTGGTTGACAATTACTTGATATATATATATATATATCTACTGTTTTTTTTGAGACGATCAATGGAAAAACGGCGACCTGGTATTGGCCCCTCATCCGGGAGTTTTGCTGTTGAATTGAGAGGCATCACCACAGGATACGTTCATGAACACCTCGCAAAGTCAGAAGCTCAACCGCTGCTATCACCTGACCTGACCACTCGGGCTATGGCCATCCATGGCTTAGGCCATGGGAAGGTTTAGTCTACCCATTCTGCTAAATAGAAATAAAGATGCAAACGGGATAATTTAAATGCAACAGGAATCCTCACCACTGTTGGTTGGTGATGCTGTGCGACATACCAATTGTACCCAATTGTCGGTGTTCAATGACCATGGCGCGAATGAGATGTCAAGAACTCGCTCTTGAATGGTAATGTATAGATCCTGGTTGGACGCTATTGATCCCAAAGCATTGGCATGGAAGGTCAAAATGAGATCTTAAATTGGATGTCACAACATGTCACGAGCAGATGTGGTCCCAGTTCCATCGTCAATGACCAGTTGATGGTTGCCGCCTAGGTCCGTACCAGTGGTATCACGAGCCAAATCCCCGGCACTTCACAATCAGTTGCTGGTGCTGCTGGCTTGTCATTTCGGGTCCGCGGTACCCGCGGAGATACCGAATTTGTTCTATGCATCACTCGGGCTCCGCCGTGGGTCCAGTCACACCTCTTGGGGCTCTGCCAGGTTCTTTTGGCCGCTGTGCAGTGATGATGGGCTGAAGAGTAGAGAGGACCTGGCAACGGAAGCATGGGCGTATCGATGCTACAAACACAAAATCTGATGATGATGATGATGATGATGGTGGTGGTGGTGGTGGTGGTGGTGGTGGTGATGGTGATGGTGATGCTGATGATGATGATGATGATGATGATGAACATGATGAACATGATGATGTATTGGTACATGACAATATTTTGTGATGATATTATACATGATTGATTGATATTGATTAATTTGATAAGTAAATGACGATCGTATAATATCGCATGCATGATAAACTCGCGTGCCGTCACAATCTCATCATGTTGTGAAGGTTTCAATGTTGGAAGGCGGCAACAAAAAAAGCTTTCAACTCACCGTGCAGGGTGGCTGCCAATGTGTGCTGCTCCAAAGCTCTCCGTACTCCTGACATGGTTGAGACGAAGCGCAACTACCCGAACCCATATTCTCCATGTGTGGTATGATATTTGGAACGATGGTTTATGGTGGTTTTTGCATATGATTAACTATGCAAAGAAAAACCTTTATTCAGGCTTGTGACTTCTGAATTATTGTATATTATTGTAATTTATTCAGGTGTTGCTCTTTTGACAGACATTTACCCAGAACATGACCCACATGTAAGTAAACATTCATTTATGACGCATATGATATGCATTCGCATGCTGTCACAGATTCTAGACAGTGCCGACACAACCAGATTTCTAGATCTCTTCCGGATACCTGTCTCTCGTGCAGAGTTTGATGATAGTAATAAGCATTCATTTTTTTCTCACGTTTTCACCAAGGATTCATACCTTTTTCTCCATCAATTCCTCCCATTTTTCCCCTCGATCCCCCAGAATCGGCGCAGCCAGGCCTGAGATGTTGATTCAAATCTTTGTTCACTTCGACAAGGAAAACCCGGAGGGAATTTGGACCCTGGTGGACTATGAAAGGACCCTGGGCTGTGGGGTATGGGTGGGTTGCAGGCGGCCAGAAATCGGCACGGGTTGGGGGATGGCTTGGGGCATGGGGTTGGGCCAAAGTTCTGCTGTGAGTATTTGACGAATTTCTTGAAGATTGTACCTGCAAGACAGTTTGAAAAACATAGGGTGCAGCTCCATGCCTCAAATCGCATTATCAGAGTGCAGCATTATCACTAATCAGGGTGCAGCTCCATGCCTCAGACTGTCCGGTAAACCCAGGTGTACCTACGATTCGAATCAGCCCGGCATCCTTGCAACACGGCACTGACCAAGCCTGCAAGGACGAAACATGCCATCAAGACTCCAAAGTTGAATCCTGGTTGGCACTTGCCAGACACCCAGTACAATGTCCTGGCCCAGCTCTGTATTTGGCCAAATTGCATAGAATTCCAGCTGTGCCAAGCGGTGCTTGGTTGAACATGTGTAAGCTCCATGCAGCAGAACCCAGCAAGCGTGTCTACTGATAGCGTATAAAAACATATAAAACTATTGTACTTATAGCGTATAGCTACTAATAGCACTTAGAGCTACCAATGGTGTATAGAAGGTCACTCCGACCGTCATTAGTGACCCAGTTTTGCATGCTCTTAAACCGCACTATCCGAACCCAACCCCCATCCCTATGTGTCATTGGATTGGATGAAGGGAAAACCTACAGGAAGCTAAGAGAAGCTAAGAGAAACTATGTTTTTTACAATCAAATATGTATGTTCCTGCTAATGTTGCCTGCATCCAATGGTAGGATAGTGACTGCTGAGCCTTTGAACTTTCTAAGGTTGACAGTAGTCTCATCTACAACCGAAAGCCCTGCGCAGAAGTACAATGGAACCAAGTTCTTCCTGGACGAATGGTGCAAGCGGTTGCCAAAAGTGCGGGGCCTCTGCTTCGGCTGACTCCATCTGATTGCCTACATGGGTATCATTCGCTAAACTGGCTATCTTGCCCACCACGAGCGAATGATATGTAGCTTCAAACCCAAGTCAGGGATATGGCTATCGGACCTACCCAGATGATGTGTCATTTGCCTGCAATCCCAAGGTTTGGGCCCGGCTCTCAGCCGAGAAGTTCAAGGATATAAACTGGCTATAGGTTGACCTTCCAAATTGGGGACTTCCGTGCTTTTGAATTCAGAGGTCGTTCCAGGATGTTCCAGGTAGTTCTGTGAAGCAGATCCGATTAGATTGATTTAGATTGCATGTTGCACTATTATGTCATTATGTTCTCATCATGTTTCTGTTTCTGATCTTCAACTGAAAACGGGTGCCATTGTAAACCCACCAAGATCCTGAACGACTTCTACAACCTCGGCAACGATCTGAGTCGAGGAGGTGTGGAAAACCTGGTGTGAAAAAGGTTGGGGATGGATGAAGAGACTGAAAATATATGAACATGCCATTTATTACATTTGATTACTATTTATTCACTTTTTGGATTCTTTTGGTCTACATTCTACACTTTGTTTGGTCTTTTAATTATGTACAATGTTACAATGCACTTTTGTTTTGGGAGGGGGTACCCAATTCTGACCCAGGTCCAATTCCCACCCGCAAGCTGTGGCTCCAGGGCGCAAGCCGTTTGGCCTCATCGCAGACTTCCGGATTTATGCCCGGTGCTTGTCAGATGATGAGGCTGCACAGCTAGGGCTGGGGATGTTTTCGGATTTTTTCGGTGGTGCCTATGGGGTCACACATGATGCATGGGTGTAGGCTAGGTCAGCTTTGAAGTGGCTGGCAGATTATGAAATATCAATAAATATCATATGAACGTATATGAACTATTCAAATTAACATATGAATCCAATTTTGCATCCAGTGTTTACCCATGTAATTACCAACCATAAAAGTCGTTTGAATTACATGCACGCGCTTGGGTGCTGCACATTGCTGGGCCCCGGAGCATTGGCAGGTCCGAAAGCTTTCGAGGGCAGAAAACACCGACAAGCATCCGGACCAAATCGTTCCTTGGAAGATGTTGCCAGGGTGGGAATGCTCGGCATGTACCGTGCCTACCTGAGAGGGAAATATCTGGGTTGCACCAAACCCAGGTTGACCCATGCGGATCCTCTGTTTAGGCAAAGCCATACAGCGATGCATGCAGAACAAACTAGAGTGCCCTCATTCTAGCAAGACGCCCGAAGACTTCTTTTTACAATCCCGAAGGGTACATAGAATCTGTAGACTGATCAATATTCAATCAGTGCACACTGCACACTTGGGGATCGCATGTTCGTTTGGAAACATAATTAATTAATTAATTATTAATCAGTTTGCATTTCTGATCTTCCAGACTTATTTTGTTGCTGGATAAATGATGGCAATCCCTTTGTATTTTGAACTCATTATTTGGCTCTATATATCTTTGCTATTATCATATATGTTTATATAGGGAGGACCATCAAAAAAAAATCTCATCAAAAAAAAATAATTCATCAAAAACAAAATAAATCATCAAAAATAAATTTAAAGAAATGAAAGAAAAGGAAGGAAGGAAGGAAGGAAGGAAGGAAGGAGAGAAGGGAAGCAGGAAAGGAAGGAAAGAAGGAAGGAGAGAAGGGAAGCAAGAAAGGAAGGAAGGAAGGAAGGAAAGAAGGGAAGCAGGAAAGGAAGGAAGGAATGAAGGAAGGAAGGAAGGAGAGAAAGGAAGCAAGAAAGGAAGGAAGGAAAGAAGGGAAGCAGGAAAGGAAGGAAGGAATGAAAGAAGGGAAGCAGGAAAGGAAGGAAGGAAGGAAGGAGAGAAGGGAAGCAAGAAAGGAAGGAAGGAATGAAAGAAGGGAAGCAAGAAAGGAAGGAAGGAATGAAAGAAAGGAAGCAAGGAAAGGAAGGAAGGAAGGAAAGAAGGGAAGCAAGGAAAGGAAGGAAGGAATGAAAGAAGGGAAGCAAGAAAGGAAGGAAGGAATGAAAGAAGGGAAGCAAGAAAGGAAGGAAGGAATGAAAGAAGGGAAGCAAGGAAAGGAAGGAAGGAATGAAAGAAGGGAAGCAAGAAAGGAAGGACGGAGGGAGGGAGGGAGGAGGGAAGGAAGGAGGGAAGGAGGGAAGGAGGGGAAGACAGGGAAAGAAAGGGAAAGAAAGGAAAAGAAAGGAAAAGAAAGGAAAAGAAAGGAAAAGAAAGGAAAAGAAAGGAAAAGAAAGGAAAACAAAGACAGACATAGTTGCCGACTCTGTGGCGAACCTTCGGTGCATCCAATCCCAACGTCTCAAAGTCGAATAGGCTGCTCGCTTGCCGCGGACCCTGGGTCAGACCACAACACTTCCTTGCGCTGTTGCGTGCGAGTTCTTGCACCGTGGATGCGCTTTCCCTGCTATATTTGTGTTTGATTTGTTTCAGGCGTGCCTGGCTTCCTGCCAGCACAAAGACCTCAGTGTAGCCTTGTATGCCAATCAATCGACACGGTTCACCTGCAGAGCACGCTGGTGGGCTTGCCCCACAGGTGACCCCAATGCAGGCAAGTCTCCTACATGTTCTGCTATCAGCAACTTGTTTTCAGCTCTCGTGTCACAACACCGCCCTTTGTTCCATCCTGTTGATCATTTTGTCGGTGTTGGCAACAATGGGAAGATTCAGGAGCGTTTACGGAGGTTGGAAGGCGCTCTACTCTTGTGGGGTCCAGAAGCAAAACCAATCTTAGATCCTAATTTCCCAAACCGAGAGACTGTCGATATCGGGAAGTATTTGGATTTGACCCGTTGGCTGGAGTGCGCAAATGGAGGCAAATTTGAATGGGGCACTGGCGCAGAAGAGAAGCAGGTCTTGAAAGCAGATGGTGACCCATATGTTGCATTGGTGTTTCCATCAACCAATGTTAATTTGTGCCTTTACCAGCAATTTAATTTGTTTAAGAATTGGTGGGTGAAGGTCGAACACAAGCACCAATGTGGATTCGCAGCACGGGTTCTCATGACCCCAACCACACGTGCGATTGTTGACATTGACACTGGGTTACTGGACGCCCGCCTAATGGATTCCTTTTTTCAGAAAGTTTGGCTGGAAACTGTCACGCGCTGGGGGCCACAGGTCCGTCCGGCATCTTTGCTGTCCACTTCTGCTTCTGCGCAGCGTGCTGTGCGGAAATTTTACGATGAGTTGCATGAATTGACGGAAGCAGGTTCCTGGGGGTCTGCGGGTTTTGCGTCTTTAGGGAAGATGGAATACCATGTGCCAAGCGCTGCATTATTGTGCTCCTTCCAGGACTGGGCTCTTTCTGGAAACAGGCATACCGTGCTGCCGGACAACGCAGTAAAATGTGGAATCAGGCATTTTGACTTGCGTGTGGTGCATGGTTGCAATATCAATACATAGACCCGGGCAAGCCGGCGGCGGAAGTTTCCCAAAAATAAATGACCTATAGTTCGAAGAAAAACCTGTCCCGACCGTGTCCTTCCCTCGACAAGCGGTTTTTTTTCAGCGAGAGACGAAGCAAAGTCTTCACACTCCACACTCCACACTTCACACTGCACTCTTCCCACTCCAAACTTCAAACTTCAAACTTCACACTCCACACTTCACACTTCACACTTCACAGTCCACACTTCACACTTCTCACTTCTCACTGCTTCCTTCACACTCCAAACCTCACACTTCACACTTCACACTGCGCTCTTCGCACTCCAAACTGAAACTTCACACTCCACACTTCACACTTCTCACTTCCCACTGCTTCCTTCACACTTCACACTTCACACTGCACTCTTCACGCCCCACACTTCACACTGCTCTAAACGTACGTCCAACAAAAAAAACACTAGTGCCAAAATGGAGAAAATCTGCTAACAAACCCATTTCGCAGCCTTCATGCAGCCACTCCAAGACGATTTCCGAGATCCAGCTGCAAAAGACAATAGTATTACGAATGCAGCCACAGCACGAAGCAACCTTGACGCAGCCATTACAATGCGATCTGCAGAGACTGAGTTGCAAAACACAATAGAACTACGCGCAACGGCGTCGGAAATTGTAGCTCCAAAACCGGATGATCTCGACGCCAGAGCGAAGAAAAGACGATTTTGAAGCGCTTTTTAAAAGGATTTTTCGAAGGAAAATCATTAGCGCCAAAATGGAGAAAATCTGCTAAAAAATCCATGTCGCAGCCTTCATGCAGCCACTCCAAGACGATTTCCGAGATCCAGCTGCAAAAGACAATAGTATTACGAATGCAGCCACAGCACGCAGCAACCTTGACGCAGCCATTACAATGCGATCTGCAGAGACTGAGTTGCAAAACACAATAGAACTACGTGCAACGGCGTCGGAAATTGTAGCTCCAAAACCGGATTTCGACGCCAGAGCGAAAAAAAGACGATTTTGAAGCACTTTTTAAAAGGATGTTTAGAAGGAAAATCACTAGCGCCAAAATGGAGAAAAAAACGCATTTCGTGCGAGACCTCCTTCAAAACTCTATCGGCAACTCATCCACCAGCACCACTTGCAATCCCATTTACATTGCGGGAACGATCCTACAGTTGCAAATCACAATGGAATTCTGTCGACCGCGCATGCACGAAAAACACTTGAAACCCCATTTACAATGCGGAACCGATCCGACCATGATCCGAACATGATCCGAGCATGATCCGACCACACACGAGACCGTCTCGCAACCGTCGCGCCGCAGAGGTAGATCATCGAGGTTCGGGGACGGACCTTGCATGGAAAAACATAGGCTTTCGTGCATCTGCTATCTCTCACAAACGCATTTCGTGCGAGACTTCCTTCAAAACTCCATCGGCAACTCCTCCACCAGCACCACTTGCAACCCCATTTGCAGTGAGGGAACGATCCTAGAGTTGCAAATCACAATGGGAATTCCATCGGCAACTCATCCACCAGCACCACTTGCAATCCCATTTACATTGCGGGAACGATCCTACAGTTGCAAATCACAATGGAATTCTGTCGACCGCACATGCACGAAAAACAGTTGAAACCCCATTTACAATGCGGAACCGATCCGACCATGATCCGACCATGATCCGAGCATGATCCGACCACACACGAGACCGTCTCGCAACCGTCGCACCGCAGAGGTAGATCATCGAGGTTCGGGGACGGACTTTGCATGGAAAAACATAGGCTTTCGTGCATCTGCTATCTCTCAAAAACGCATTTCGTGCGAGACTTCCTTCCAAACTCCATCGGCAACTCCTCCACCAGCACCACTTGCAATGATTTTACAGTAGGGGAACGATCCTAGAGTTGCAAATCACAATGCAATTCCATCAGCAACTCATCCACCAGCACCACTTGCAACCCCATTTACAATGCGGGAACGATCCTACAGTTGCAAATCACAATGGAATTCTGTCGACCGCGCATGCACGAAAAACACTTGAAACCCCATTTACAATGCGGAACCGATCCGACCATGGTCCGAGCATGATCCGAGACCGATCCGACCATGATCCGACCACACACGAGACCGTCTCGCACCCGTCGCACCGCAGAGGTAGATCATCGAGGTTCGGGGACAGACTTTGTATGGAAAAACATAGGGTTTCGTGCATCTGCTATCTCTCAAAAACGCATTTCGTGCGAGACTTCCTTCAAAACTCCATCGGCAACTCATCCACAGCACCACTTGCAATCCCATTTACAGTGAGGGAACGATCCTAGAGTTGCAAATCACAATGGAATTCCATCGGCAACTCATCCACCAGCACCACTTGCAATCCCATTTACATTGCGGGAACGATCCTACAGTTGCAAATCACAATGGAATTCTGTCGACCGCACATGCACGAAAAACAGGTGAAACCCCATTTACAATGCGGAACCGATCCGAAGCATGATCCGAGAATGATCCGACCACACACGAGACCGTCTCGCACCCGTCGCACCGCAGAGGTAGATCATCGAGGTTCGGGGACGGACTTTGTATGGAAAAACATAGGGTTTCGTGCATCTGCTATCTCTCAAAAACGCATTTCGTGCGAGACTTCCTTCAAAACTCCATCGGCAACTCCTCCACCAGCACCACTTGCAATCCCATTTACAGTGAGGGAACAATTTCTTTGACTAACTCCCCATTTACATTGCGGGAACAATTTCTTTGACTAACTCGTTCCCTAACGAACTCTTTCTTTGCTAACTCTTCTTTGACTAACTCTTTCTTTGCTAACTCTTTCTTTGACTACCTCATATATCCTGACTAACTCTTTCTTTGACGACTAACTCTTTCCTAACTCTTTCTTTGACTAACTCTTTCTCACTAACTCTTTCTTTGACTAACTCTTTCCCTCACTAACTCTTTCTTTGACTAACTTTTTCTTTGACTAACTCTTTCTTTGACTAACTCTTTCCCTCACTAACTCTTTCTTTGACTAACTCTTTCCCTGACGAACTCTTTCTTTGCTAACTCTTTCTTTGACTAACTCTTTCCCTCACTAACTCTTTCTTTGACTAACTCTTTCCCTGACTAACTGTTTCTTTGACTAACTTTTTCTTTGACTAACTCTTTCCCTCACTAACTCTTTCTTTGACTAACTCTTTCCCTGACTAACTCTTTCTTTGACTAACTCTTTCTTGACTAACTCTTTCCCTCACTAACTCTTTCTTTGACTAACTCTTTCCCTGACTAACTGTTTCTTTGCTAACTCTTTCCCTGACTAACTCTTTCTTTGACTAACTCTTTCCCTCAACTACTAACTCTTTCCCTGACTAACTGTTTCTTTGCTAACTCTGACTAACTCTTTCTTTGACTAACTCTTTCCCTGACGAACTCTTTCTTTGCTAACTCTTTCTTTGACTAACTCTTTCCCTGACATTCTAAAAGTCCGTAACACGGAAGTTTCTCCCCCTAAACTTCCTTTGATCATTGATTCGGAAATTGCAGAAAAGTGTGCTTCCACTTCCAGCCGAGGTCACAGCCCGATCGCGTCGCGCAATGTGAAGCCCTTCCATGCACGTTTGCTAGCATCCTGCACCAAAGATCCCATCACTTTGTCAGACGTTGGCAATCACATCACGTGTCTGAAAGGGGCTTCCAATGTCCAAAAGCGCATGGACGTATTGCAGAAATTGCAATCCTTAGGCTTAGGGGAGGTCCGCTCCGGCCGGCGTCTGCCTAACAATCCAGATAGTGCTCGGGCATTGGACTTCTACCGGCACCCCTGGTCTCCGGCAATCGGCGCGGTCCTTCGTGACCTTTCTGTGCCGGAGTCTTTGTGGCCGACGAAACAAGACCCCCCACTCCAGGACGATGATGCTCGTTTGCCGCCCATGGCAGGTGCTGGCAGGCGTGGACGGCCTGTACATGAAGAGACACCATACACGGTCACGAATTCTTTGGTTGTGGAGCTTGGGTTTGAAAACAAGCAAGCATTCCTGGAGCACGAGCGTCAATGGGCATCAACACTCTTGCCAAACAAAGTCTTGAACATTCGCTTTCAATGGTACGACTACAAGGCCGGCTTCAAAGCGTTGCTCTGGTGCAATTCCTGCACGGAATGCCAAAACAAAGGTGGCTGGAAGGGCTATTCTGTCTACACTTTGGCAACAAAGAAGCTCGAGCGCGCATACACCCCCGTGGAAAAGCATGGGGAGACCGCGCACCAAGGCGTGGACACCGTTGACCAGCACCACAGAGAACGCCCTCAAACAATATGTGGCCAGTCACGCCCGCTTCACAACCCAAGATTTGGTAAAGGTGGTTGAGAAGCATCAGTCAGATAGGCCTGATGACGCTTGGCTGCAGCGATGGGGAAGCAATCACCGTCCCCGCCGTCCTGAGGGGGCTTCTCCGTCGCAGTGGGTGGAGTCAGACTGGCGCCAGTTGATCCGAGATTTGGGAACCATTGATGGCCTTCAAGATGTCACTGACTGCCTCAAAGTGGCCGCGTCTTCATTTGATGATCCCAAGCACACAATCATTGTGTTTTGCAACCCGCAACTGACCGCAACTTCTTTGAACATGCTTGAGAACCAAACTTATGTGAAGCTCTGTGGTGACGGGACATTTCGTTTGACCGATAAAGAGTGGATTTTTCTCACACTTGGTGCCCTTTCCAAGCATTGTGCTCCCAAAGCATCCGTGTTTCGGACTACTTTTAATCCAGTATTGTTCGCTTTGACGAACAACGAAAGTGAGCAGACCTACACATTCTTCTTCGAAGCTGCGTGCCAGTGCGCGCTGCAGTTCACCAACATTCGATTGCCGGAAGTCTGTGGGCAATATCATGCGGATCTGCATTGGGGCGAGGATGCCGCTCAGAAGAATGTGTTTCCAGCCGCCCAAAAAGTTGCTGATTGGGCCCATTTCACTGGTGCATGTACCCGTAGTGCCGTAGCCAAAAAGCATCCGGCCGCTGGGGATGAGAAATTCACGGCTTTTCGAAAAGGTGTTTGGGTCACAGCAAAAAATCATTTGTCTCCTGCAGGCCGAACGTTGATGCCATTGATTGAGCGAGCCTTTTATTGCATGCGATCGGTCCCCACAGCTTTGCTTTTCCACAGCATTTCCCACAGTTTTTTTCGAATTGCTCTTGTCGCAGAACCCTCCAGCCCTCCAGAAGAAGCAGCCGCAAAAGCTTTGTTCAGATATTATTTTCACCGCGTCCCCGCTGCTGAGGCAAGGGAGCAATGTGGCTTGTCCACTTGGGTCGGCGATGAGTCGTTTATCTATTTATTTGGCAGATTGGTGGTATGGGGCGCAGCGCCTGCAACCAGGATCGCGTTCAGGAACTCAAGCGCAAGAGTCTTGGCACAAACATAAACTGAAATCGTATATGGGTTTGAAGGCCTCGCTTCCTGCCTTTTCAGAGCAACTCGCCAAATTTACTTCCTCCCGCTTGAAAGACTTAATTACAAGCGTCTAGCCAAAGTCTTCCAGATGTGCCAAAAGAGCCATTTCCAGACCGAGCTGTCTTGTTTGACTCCCCTTGGCTCACATAACTTGGTCGTTCCTCTGCAGATCAATACCACCGCACAGGTGCATATGATGTGCATGAGCATGCAGGCAGTGTTTTTTTCGGAATGCAGCGCACCCTGGCGCGCTATGACAGGAGCGTAGATAAGTGGAATTCCACAGAAGACGCCGATGTTCCCCCAGTTCCTGCCGAAACTGCATCTTTGTTAGCTCGTCTTTGCCGCGCAGCTGATTCGGAATCTTTGCGCAGTGCACTTGTAGACTTGGATTTGAGCCTGGCGCCATGTCACTTGGACGGGGCGGAGGCTTCTAAGTTTTGGCGTCGCCAGCCACTAGAGGGTGAGCATACGGCTTCTCACACCCAGGGCTTATACCACTTTTGTCACGAGTTCTCAGTGCATGGTTCGTGTGAACATCTGCAGGTTGCCTTTCTGCACTTGAAGCTTATTTCGTTGCAAGCGGCCGAATTTCCAAAGCGGCAACGCACAGCAAATCCTTGGCAGGAGCCTTCGCACATCTTGTTGCCTTCTCGTCCTCGTGCTGCTGCATCATCTTCTACCAGGAAACCTGTTGTCTCTTTCAATTGGGCCCAAACTTCACGTTTCCTTGTTGCCAACCAGGCTGACGCTTGGGCCGAATACTTCCGTTCTGAATGCGTTGATGTCCACATGATTATTTCCATGGGTGTCGCGGACCTCAAAACTGTGCTTCAGCATGTTCCAGCCGGCGTCCTGTTCCGCCTTCACACCGCAGCTTCACAGCGGCTGGAAGAGGCACCGCTCTCCTGATTGCAGCGGTTTCTTTTCTTTGTTTCGGTTTTGCTGTTGCGCTGTACTTTGCCAGGACAATGCAAGAGCGTCCATGGGCGATGAGGCAGGCTTCTGATCAACGGCCCTATGGACATGACAGTTTGTGTTTTCCGTGAAATTGTGTTGTTGCCTTCGGTTGTTCGCTTTTCTTGGGTGCCCTAGGCCCGTTTGCCTCGTATTTTTGTTTCGTCCCGGACCTTGGTTTCAGCTGATGCAGCCAGGAAGACAATGAGGAGCCAATGAAAGACCAGGCGCGTTTGATGAAGATATGCGCCCAAGCATTAGGGCTTACCTCATTGCAGTGGTCCCACCTTGTAGTCTGCGTATCTTCTGTTAGGTCTTGCGTGTTTCATGTCGCATTCTATCCATTGACTTGAACTAAGGGAAGCTGTCAAGAACGTCCAGGTCGCAAACGTGCTTGGCTCTCAGTTGACCGGCTTATGCAGCCGGTGTGTCCCTGCCTGCCTGTGTTTCGTTGCTTGTCTTGGTTGGCTTGGACCCTCTGGCTCGGAAGTCTTTCCTGAAAAGACTTCTTGGTCTGAGTTGGAACTCCCAAGGTGACAAAGAGGAGCCCATGGAAGACCAGGCGCCTTGGAAGATTTCTGAGCGCCGCCTCTTCCCTGATGTGGTTCAGCGTGTTGATTTCCTTTGTTGCTTGTATCGTTTCTGACGGGCTTTTGTGTGTCTCACGCTGCATGTTTTCCATTGACTTGAATTGAGGACAGCCATGAAGAACGTCGAGGTCACAAACGTGCCTGGCTCTCAGTTACCCCGCTTTCGCAGCTAGCTGGAAGTCAGTTCCTCATTGGAAAGATAATTTGCTGCAGCCCATTCATGCAGGCAGCGCCTCCTTCATATGACGTCGTGCCTCACCACTTTGGCTGATGCATCGTTTCTTCTGCGCAAGAATGTTTCCCTTTCTTTTCTAAGGCCAGCAAGCCTGAGTCTGCTGACCCTGCCCCATTGCCAGTTGCAGCCTTGGAGCTGCTTTGCTTCCAAATGCATTCATCGCAGATGTGGTGTTTTGCTTGCTTGCCGCCGGCGTCCCCATTGAGGTTCTACCGGCTGGACCTTCGCGACCTGCCTGGCCCTTAGTCAAATTTACTTTCTTCAGACATGTCTGTGTCCCCGCCACTTCTTCTTTCCGCGTCTGTTGACATGAGGCGCCAGAACCTGCCGTGGCGAGCAACAGGGCCACTTGTGGGCAATGCTTTTCCCAGCGACTGATCTAGTGATTCTCTTGTCATCATGGATCATGTCATGATGAATCATGTCATGATGGATCATGTCAGAGGCACAGCGCATTTCATCCTTGGTGGATCTATCATCCGCACGCTTTTCTGCGCGGGAGGCGGACCCTGGGCGCCGAGACCGGCTGAAATACCTCCCCGGCGTATATCCGCGCTGAAAAATGTGTGCTGCGCGCTGCTGTGAGGGCATCTCCAAAAACGCCGGCAATAGCAGCAACCAAAGAAGAATTATTCCTCTTATTGCCAAAATAATCACTACTGACTTCCTCCTATGGACATTTCCGCCCCCGGCTTGTGCCGGTTCTGTTCTAGCTTCTGCTTTCGGGTTTTGGCTTCTGGCTTTTGGCTTCTGGCTTCTAGCCTCTGGGTTTTAGCGCCAGGCTTGACCTATTGGCCTCTGGCCATTTGGCTTTTGGCTCTTTGGCCTTTTTCAAGCATACTTCATCGCGTAGCCCTGCGTTGTTGTGCAAGCTTCCGTATACAGCAGGCCCACCCACCCGTGCCTGGAAAACATGATGGAAAGAATGGTTTTTGTAGCCCATTGGATTCAATGTTGTTTGGCCCAGTGCCTCGTTATTGAACAGCTTGCGAACCAATGCGTGTTCCTTGTGCGATGACTCGTACATGTCGGCGTCGACCAAGCCCACCCAACCGTCCCTCCCAAGTATATTCCTTTTTTAATATACTTTTTCTGATAGTAATAATTGTTTTACCGATGACCCCCCCAAAAAAAATAAATCATCAAAAAATAATTTAAACATATTTTTTTGATGATGCAATGCGCAGATTTCATGATGCTTGTATTTTGCGTTTGGCTTGCGCAGGCCAGGATATGAGGGAATATTTTTTTTTTAAATGAGTTTATTTTTTTTTTGATGGGATTTTTTTTTGATGACTTTTATTTTTTTTGATAGCTGACTCATAATACCCGTGTTTCCAGGCGAACTCCGTATGTTCATCCATGGCCTTTAGGCGCGTCGCCTGGCCGAGCTGGACGCCGCCACGGTACTGGTGCAACGCCTGGATGTGCTCGACTGCGCGGCGGAGTGTGCCTTGGTGCTATGGAAAATAGGCCTATCATGGCCAAACATCTGATGAAATACTAGTTGCATCTAGTAAATCTATAGTTGGTGAATAAATGTTAATCGATTTCCCTACCATAAGGGTTAACTATAGTTCGCAATAAGTCAGGTAGTATCATTTCCTTTTATACCAGTTGACAATGGTATTTGTAATGGCTCATGGGAAATCATTCCCATTGTGGGTCTGATTTTTTCAGGTGGGTGAATTAGTAATTTTTGATAACAACTGCAATTAATGAACATTCGTGGTAACTAATAGATGATATCGACCCAATGTTCACGTTCATGCTTTGCGATGACAACTACATGCTACACAGACAAACATAACACCGCAAGCAATGATGTTCAATAATTATGTAGGATTATTCATGGGATGTGTATAATAGATTGAGACTTGGGAGATACCGGAATCCCATTTTGGTTGGTGAACGAACCAAGTCATCCCTCCACGCTGAATATGTGTGCCCAAGTTTGCAGCTATGTCAGATTTTGCGTGGTTGGCTACGTCCACATGTTTGCTGATCACAGTTTGCTCATTACATCCCATGGACTCACATACCATTTTTGTTCGTTCAGGTGTTCCTGATTGAAAAATGATAGAATATCAATGAATATCATATCATATCCCTCATTTTATTGAGCCAATTTGTTCCCCACGTTGCAGAAACCGTTCCCCAAGTTGCAGCTTCTATCCCCAAGTCAGCGACCATAGGTCCTCGCTGATAGATGGATCCCCTGTTGATCGTTCCATTCCGTCAGGTCTAAGAGCCTTAGGCAGCTTGGCCACGCTCTCCACACAGAGGGTGCAGCTGGGCAGGGCTGGAAGGTTTGAAACCCACAAAAATACCATAGAAACATATAGACCATTAGAACAATAGTACACAACTTGGGTCTCGCAGAGATACTCCAACCTATTTCTTTTTATGTTCTTTTAGTATTTTTTGGTCAGGAAACTGTTAGTTACTGTTAGTTTTTAAATATTTATTTATTTATTCAACAGCCCTCAGGTAGACAATGCCTAAAGCCACCAGGCGAAGATCTTTCACGTCTGCGGACGTCAGCTGCTGCGACTCATGACGTCACCACAGCCCATGGTGCAACGTCAGGCAGGGTGCCCTAAGATGTCCCAATGGTCCAAGCAACAAAGGAAGATGCAGATGCCGAAGGGTCAACAGATGTCAACGGTGTCGGGTTTCGCGCAGGTCTGATCCAGGTAGGTATAGGATGGTATGGGTAGCGTCTTTGAAAGGTCCAGGTTGACGGTGATCTCACGTGATTCCGCAATATGAGCGACATGGGCTTTGAAGAATTTGAAGACGACCCCATATAGATACCAAATACATGATCAATCTGGGATAATCTGGATGCTTCCCAAGGTATACCAATAACTCATCGTCTAACCGACGAACCGACCTCCAACTGCCCGTGATTGCCTGTGTGTTTTTGGTCTTCAGAGCAGGCCAAGAGACTCTTGAACAATCTCTCCTGAGAGGTGTCAAAATGATTGGGATCGGTTGCCCCAAGCCCAGGCCACAGATGAGTTGGTGATTGTTGGAATTTCATGGAATGCCTGGAAATCATCCCATATTTTGGGGATGCTATTGCGACCATTAGCTTAGTTAAACATAGTTAAATGGGGGCAACATCTGAACATCTTTTGGGAATGTCTTGAGAATTGATTTCTCTTCTAGCCCATGTTTGATCATTTTCTCCACTACTAAATTGAGATGGCAAGAAATTGAATCGAAGTAAATCCATCATGTTCGGGCAACCCCGAAATATTGTTCGTTATAATCATACTTAGTGGTTGGTGTATAGTCTCCTTTTTTCTTGGTAAACATTCACGTTTGTCATGTACCTCGTTGTTGGCCAAGCCCAAACTGAAAATCATTTTGAGCCGCCAGCGTCAGCTCCAAAGAGCTCCAAAGAGGGCCCTTTGAGTCTCATTTGATACCTAGTTGAGGATAAGACGGGGTTCGAATGGCCTTTTGGTGACGAGGGTTTGACAGGAACGGATGAGTTCTTTTGCAGATAGAATGAGAATCCCTCAGCGGCAAAGACAACTAGTGCAGTGTCAGCCGATCAGCCGGATGAATTCGTTGAAATGCCATTGATTATTCAACACCAACCCGTTTGAAGCAGCGACATGCAGGACGTTTGCCAGCGATCGGATGACCCTCTTCAAGACGGCAGAAGAGCTGCCTGTCAAAGTAACCCAGTGCCAGCCTCTTGCGAAAAGCACACGATTCCATGGCCGCGGCTGGATTTGCTTTTGGATCTGTTGATCAAACCTGTATAGAGGAACCCTCAAAGTTTCAATTGAGAGTGGCCAAGACCCCTGCTGGTTGATGCTTGCATACTCCCAGGCTTGATGCCATATTGATTGTACGTTTTCTATTTTTGATATTGTGGTGTATGATAATCCATTGTGGGGACATTAACCAATCAGTACAACCAACGCCTAATCGGTTCTGGAAACTGGAAACTACTGCCTTGTCATGACTTAGTTTTCGTCCTTGCTTCCTCAAGGGCATGCGGCGGTCGAACAGACTTTAGAGGCGAAACTTTGGCCTCGGATCTGAGAAGTTGCAAGGAAGGTCAGGGTGAGATCAGCGACATTTGCTGTGTTTTGGCTCATGGAGCATGTAGGTCAATATCTTGAGACATCTGAAACATAGTTCGCCCTCTTGGCATGAGCATTTTATTAGGACCTGGTCGTCAGCACAGTCACAGGCGGAAACATATATAGATAAACGAAGAAAAACATATGTCCCGAAATGCCTCAGCAACACCAATGATACGGAAATATATGCAATGATTCTTTAGACGCCACATTTCAATGGCGTAAGCGGCTTTCTTCAGTGTCATGGCCCTTGGCATCTTTCAGCGCAGCATGGTCCTCCGAGCGACGGCCGCAGCAAAAATTCAGCTGGGACAGGTGCGTCAGGGGCACAGCTTCAGTGCGAGTCAGGTACCTTGTCTCAGGAGATGATTTTTCCATATTTTTCCTATGGTCTGCCTGTGAGAAAAAAATGAAACACAAGAACAACATCAACATATATTTGAAACCTGATTTGTGATTGTTCTTCCAGATTTGATCCCGTGTGTTCCTACTCTTTCCATCTCTTTCCCTCCATCTCACGATGTCTACAATTGTTTTACCACCCAAAAAAATGTGCCAGCTTCAATGAATCGGCGAATAACTTTTGTTTTTGGTTGGCGCAATTCGAATCATGATTTTTGATCAACCCCATAAACAAAAAAACTAAATCCACCCAGGTCATCATAGTATGTTTGGCCATGTTTTTGTCAGAGTTTCATATCATTTTCCCCCCCAAAAAAATGGCCACTGTCCATCACTTTCCCCAGGCCACCCTGCAGCTGGTGCTGCAGTCCAAGCCCTGGCCCCTTTGGCTCCGCCGTGAGATGCGCAGCAACTGGGCCGGGGAGACGGGTGCCGTGGCCATCTACCGCGGCAGCCACTGGGCCTTGCGGCCCGGGGAGGCAGAGCTGCGAAGCTTCGTGGAGGAACACGTGGCCGCGGAGGAAGCACATTTGGAAGCCATGGAAAGATGCTTGGGATGAGGATTTCATGATGATTTTTGAATGATTTGATGATTTTTTGGGCTGATTTTTGGACTGGAATTGGGTTGATGGATGGCATGGCATGGATTTTTCTTGTCTTGACTGGGAATCAGATTTCAAAATGGAATCCTTTGCACACCACCCCAACAACCGGGCTTTTGTGGAGTGGTTCGACTTTGAGGTCCTTAATACCAATGTTTATTCTTCCGGGTTAGGATCATATAGGTTGATCCAATTTTCACATGAGCGACGGCTCTTATTTGCGTATATGGAAAGTAGTATTCGGACGTACCCCGGTTTGTCAAAAATATCATATTTAGCTTTTAAAACGAGGTAGGAACACCCCGAGAACGAGGTAGGCAAAAAGGTTACGGGACTGGAGAACGAGGTAGGAACACCCCGTCAATTGCGTTATGTAACAAAAATATGGTCCGCGGCTCACATATTTTCACATCTTTCCCGCTAAAACCACCAGGCCTGGTCTGTGAGCCGGACGAGCGAAGTTGGATGCCCGCCACTGCCTTTGGCTGGGCCTTGGGCTATCTCTCCACCAGGATACGCGGCGCACATGGTATGTATGTCACCACTGAAGCCGTTGAGTCATTTGTGGAAGAGCATTATGGTGATCAGATCGCCCGTTCCTGGAGTGCAGATTTATACAGATGTATGAGATCGGACGTCAGCCTTAAAAATCCACCAACAGTTCTTCTTCCATAAGAGGAACTGTATTTTACCAAACATATCTGAAACCACTATGAAAGTGAAATTGCAGAGCCTGGGAGATTGTGTTCCTTTTCAGATGTGAGGATTGATTTCCACTTTCCGTGCTTGTTTCAACCATGTTCAAGCAAGGTAACCATGACATGTTTCAGCAAAAACTGGGATGATTCGGATGCTTAAACTATGTAAAACTGGTTATTCAGCCCAGCAATTTTCATGGTGATTCCTGCCTGAAGATGCTGAAGCCCCTGTTGTTCACCAGTTTTTCCCAGGTTTGGAGCTGGAGCTCCAGCGCGGCGAACATCATCCGCTGGAGGCCTACCGGGCGCTGCTGGAGCTCCTGCGTGGCGCCTGTGCGGATGAAGTGGCGCATAAAGAGGACGCGGCCAAGAGACAGGCCTTCTCCGGCGGCCGTGCCTTGGTGAAGGATGGACTATGATGATTGTGATGGGGATGTTTATTATGTTTATTTTTAGAGATCCCTAAAATGGATGGTTTATATAATATGGAAAATCCATCTATAAATGGATGAGAAGTGGGGTACCCCACCATTTTAGGAACCCCTCAATATGGAGATTTTGAGGCAACAAACACAGGTTACATGGGTTGTTTTCTTATCAGGATGGTCATTAATATAGAGGTCAATATACTCACTATAAAGGATCTATAAGTATCTATAAGTGGAATAATGATGGTGGGGTGAACCAATTCCACATACAGCCCATGTTTTGACCATGGCCAATGGCTGCCTTGCTGATTGTTTTTTCTCCCTATCACCCCGTATTTTCCATAGGGATCAATCAATATCATTTAGTTACTACTATACACTGCTATACACCTATTTTTTCGGAATCCATTTCGTGATGGTGGGGTGACCATACTCCATTAATCCCGTGTAACTTGGCACATATGGAGTTGGGCCAAAGCTAATAATATGGAACCAGCTACAGTATGGATGCTTGATAACCATCCAAGCCTCGCAGCTATGGTCTAGGGTGCCTAGGTCTTGACCAATATCCCAATGTCTTTGAGTTTCTGACTTGATTGTGATTGGGATGATAATGGAAGTATTTGCACTAAATAGATTGGCAGTTCTGAACTTTTTTTTCAAGTTCAAAACATCTCGCTAAACCTTGGTTGCCCAAAAAATGGACGACGTTTTTTTTTTGTTTCTTCGAGCCATCGAGGCTCCGGTGCCATCTTGGATTCCTTGCAATTTTCAGCCGTCTACTGGGCTTCCAAAGTGGGTGCCGCCATCGCCAAGCGCCTGTGATGCGCCGTGGCGGGATGGAGCGAGCGACCTGTGTGGCAGCTCGACTGTGGGACAGAAAAAGAAGACAGAGGGTCTGTCTGAAAACGGGGTATACCATGGTACACCTTCTAAATGGCCATTTTGGAAAATATGGGAAAATGATGATTAACCAATGGATTTAGAGGTACCATAATTTCAGACAAACCCACTTCCGAGTTGGAGAAACTTCAATGCAGTAAATGTTGATTTGAGCTGTAGTAGCTGTAGTCAGAGTCTGAGAGTCTGAGAGTGGAGTAAATAGCAATGCCATGCATTGCCAGTAGAACCAAGGCCAAAAGCTCTGGAATTGAAATCATAAGAACTCAGTTTAGGATCAAATCAAAAAGAACTCTCAAGAAAAAAATGGAAATCTAAAGTGTTCCGAGCATCAGCAGCACACTGAAGCGCTAGGGCAAGAGTGGCTTTCGGTAGCTTTGGCTTCAGCTATTGACAGCAGAGTGATGAGCATGGGTTGTTGCCATGATAGTTCTTGTGATCGGTGGTTCAGAAATCTTGCAGGGGATCGCCGGCTTGGGAAGATGTAGACTGTCATCATCCTCCTGGCACAAGCTCTCTCCTGTGAGAACAATAACCCACAGCCGACAGCCTGAAAACACTACAGACAGAGCAGTTCAGTGTGGAGGTTCCCCTTTGATCCATGCCTTTCTTGAGCCTTTCTTGCTCGTCGAAATATGAGTGGCGCCCTCAGTTTCTTCAGATTCCGCGTTGCTTCCAAAGCAGGTGGCCCAATGGTGGCCCTTCGATTGACTTTTTTGTGCTGTGGCTTTGGGAAACCAGTTGCAGCCACCAGATGGAGTGGTTATGATATTGCTGCACGCCAAAACCAGACACCTTGGATATCCTCCTTGGAAAAATCTCTATAAAATAGATCACCTGGGGGTACGATTCTATAGAGATGAGGCTGGTAGGCCAGTGTTTACTATAGAATGGTACCTGGATTGCGCCCATCCAGTTTACATACCCAAAAGTGACACCAAACTTGAGGCATTGCAAACCCAGTTTTCTATTCTATAGGGTGTCTTTTTCCTAATCACTTGGACTCAGGTTTTCATTTTATAGCGAATTGTTTGTTAGATTTTGTTGCAAGCAGTGGCCAGTATGATTAGCCTCATACTGGCCACCGCTTCTAACAAACAATCCACTATAGAATGAAAAACTGGGTCCCAGTGATTAGGAAACATGCCCCCTACAGAATAGAACCCGCTATTTCCAAGGCCCAAAATGTGGTTCAAGTTTGGGCTGGCACCTTTCAAAATTCCTTGGGAACCATTTTTAGAAAAGTGGTTCGATCTCCATTTTAAGGAGCAGCCCTGCACAAAACTGATTCGTTAACATTCGTTAACAGTGTTGACCACTTATTCGTTTACAATATGTTTCAATATTTTACAGTATCATACAGTATCATACAGTATTATTGCCCACTGACACCCCCCCCTTCCACTCCTAGAAAATACAAACCCAGCCTCATACCCACCGCTTCAAACAAATAATCCACTATAGAATGAAAACCTGAGTCCAAGTGATTAGGTGCCCCCTATAGAATAGAAACCGCTATTTCCAAGGCCCAAAATGTGGTTCACGTTTGGGCTGGCACCTTTCAAGCAAAAAAAACCTTGGGAACCATTTTTAGAAGAGTGGTTGGATCTCCATTTTAAAGGAGCAGCCCTGCACAAAACTGATTCGTTAACAGTGTTGACCACTTATTCGTTTACAATATGTTTCAATATTTTACAGTATTGTTGCCCACTGACACCTCCCCTTCCACTCCTATAAAATGAAAACCCAGCCTCATACTGGCCACCGCTTCAAACAAATAATCCACTATAGAATGAAAACCTGAGTCCAAGTGATTAGGTGCCCCCTACAGAATAGAAACCGCTATTTCCAAGGCCCAAAATGTGGTTCACGTTTGGGCTGGCACCTTTCAAAAATCCTTGGGAACCATTTTTAGAAGAGTGGTTGGATCTCCATTTTAAAGGAGCAGCCCTGCACAAAGCTGATTCGTTAACAGTGTTGACCACTTATTCGTTTACAATATGTTTCAATATTTTACAGTATCATACAGTATCATACAGTATTATTGCCCACTGACACCCCCCCTTCCACTCCTATAAAATGAAAACCCAGCCTCATACTCACCGCTTCTAACAAATAATCCACTATAGAATGAAAACCTGAGTCCAAGTGATTAGGTGCCCCCTATAGAATAGAAACCGCTATTTCCAAGGCCCAAAATGTGGTTCACGTTTGGACTGGCACCTTTCAAGCAAAAAAATCCTTGGGAACCATTTTTTAGAGAAGTGGTTCGATCTCCAATTTAAAGGAGCAGCCCTGCAGAAAACTGATTCGTTAACAGTGTTGATTACTTATTCGTTTGCAGTATGTGTCAATATTTTACAGTATCACACAGTATTTACAGTATTATTGCCCACTGACACCTCCCCTTCCACTCCTATAAAATGAAAACCCAGCCTCATACCCACCGCTTCTAACAAATAATCCACTATAGAATGAAAACCTGAGTCCAAGTGATCATAAAATGGAAATCCAGCCCCCCTCTATAAAATAGTCACCAAGTAGATTCTTTTGTGGAATGGTGCCAGCCCAGATCCAAAAAGTGAAACCAAACTTAAGGCATTGCAAACCCAGTTTTCTATTCTATAGGGGGTCTTTTTCCTAATCACTTGGACTCAGGTTTTCATTTTATAGTGGATTATCTGTTAGAAGCAGTGGCCAGTATGATGCTGGGTTTTCATTTTATAGGAGTGGCAGGGGGCTGTTGGTTTGGTTTTCTTGGGTTTCTATTCTATAGGGAAAATCCCCCCCCTTAGTCCTGGGTTTGCGTTTTAGTCCCTATAGAATGGAACCCCCAGGTTTGGTTCGAATTCCAACAGGGATCCTTTGATAATAAACGACATGTGACAAGAGCACTGGACTTGAATTGGCAGAGTGTGAAGGACAGCGATTGTTCTACCGATTTGGAGTACCAGCTTCACTCCTCCGGAACTGAAGAAAGCTTACAAGAGACTCTTTAACATCCACAGTACCCAGATCATCCTAGTACATTTACCTAGGTTTACCGGTTTACCCACATTACCCACATTACCCCATGACCCAAACATGACCCAAACATGACCCAAACATGACCCACTCAAATGAAATATACCATACAGACGGATGCAGATTCTGTTGGCCCCATGGTCCTGCCATCTTTCCCTGGAAGTGATCATTGACTCGAGGTTTGATTTGGTCCGTCAAAGAGTCGCGGAAACAGCAGATTCAACGGCGACGGCAGGAGTCACCTGGCCATGAAATTCATTGGTGGTGACTTTTCTGGAGTTGTTTGAATTTGTTGGGCTCCAAGACGACTTTCGGAAAACTTGAAAGCAGTCTGTTGTTTTGTCCATATATATATAGCAGTAAAGATGAATCAATAATAGTAAAGGTAAACATGGTTAAACATGACATGATGGTTTTGTGAAGGGACTTTTTGTGTGGTCTATGATTGAAGGCCCCGCTCCACCGAGGCGCGAAGTCGAGGCTCAAGAGAACGAACGCTTCGTCTCTAGCAGGGGAACCTGGTGACTGTTCGAAGCTGCAGATATCGATGGGGGTAGGAGTTGATTTGGATTAGGCCCATGGATTACATGTATAGAATATATATATATATATGCTACCCCCCCCCCAAGACCTACATTTTTTGTATTAGGTATGTCCTTGGCTGCCTTGTCTTTCTTCTCATCTTCTCACCTATTGCAACACTGCATCAGGAAAGTAGCTTGTGCGCATGCACCTGGACACATCTCGCCCACATATGTAGCTGTAGCATAGCACATGTGAAGAAACTGACCACGTAGGTGCATGAACACTGAGAGCACCTGGGTGGGTGGGAAAGGACAAGCAATACACTAGACATTTTGTGTACCAGATATGTCCTTGGCTGCCTTGTCTTTCTTCTCATCTTCTCACCTATCGCAACACTGCATCAGGAAAGTAGCTTATGCGCATGCACCTGGACACATCTCGCCCACATATGTAGCTGTAGCATAGCACATGTGAAGAAACTGACCACGTAGGTGCATGAACACTGAGAGCACCTGGGTGGGTGGGAAAGGACAAACAAGACACGAGACATTTTGTGTACCAGATATGTCCTTGACTGCCTTGTCTTTCTCCTTATCTTCTCACCTATTGTAACACTGCATCAGGAAAGTAGCTTGTCCGCATGCACCTGGACACATCTTGCCCACATATGTAGCTGTAGCATAGCACATGTGACGAAACTGACCACGTAGGTGCATGAACACTGAGAGCACCTGGGTGGGTGGGAAAGGACAGAGAATGTATTGCTTTGGATGCATGAGCCCATGTGTAGTGTCAATGTCATGATGGCCTTGCCTTGCGACATATTCACCGTGCCGGTCACGTTGAAGAACGCCATGGCAAATAAGAGGGGAAGCGATGAAAGCTGAGAACAAGAATGGCACTGGGGCAGTGACAATGGATTGCAAGAATGGAGCAGTGACAATGGATGGCAGGAATTGTATTTATGTCTTTTCCAGCCTAAAGGAATGCATCCAGAATGCATTCTTCCCAATATCTAAGATCCAAGATCTAAGAATTGCGGAGAAGTCTTGTGCAAATCTTGGGTTTGGAATTTGCCAGAATACTCTTACCAATCCCTATGAAAATTCTTTAGGAATCCAAGATTTTGATCATGCATTCTTCCCAAGATCTAAGATCCAAGATCTAAGAATTGCGGAGAAGTCTTGTGCAAATCTTGGGTTTGGAATTTGCCAGAATACTCTTACTAGTCCCTATGAAACTTCTTTAGAAATCCAAGATTTTGATCAAAAGTCTTGTGGGAAACTTGGATCTTGGATTTTGAATCTTGCAAAGAATGCATTCAGAATGCATTCTTTCGGCAGGATTCAAGATTCAAGATTTCTAGGGACTCTTTGGAGCAAATCTTGAATCCACCCCCTGGATTCAAGATTCAAGATTCAAGATTCCTGAGGACTCTTTCCAGCAAATCTTGAATCCAGGATTCAAGATTCAAGATTCAAGATTTCTGGGGACTCTTTGGGGCAAATCTTGAATCCAGGATTCAAGATTCAAGATTCAAGATTCCTGAGGACTCTTTCCAGCAAATCTTGAATCCAGGATTCAAGATTCAAGATTTCTGGGGACTCTTTGGGGCAAATCTTGAATCCAGGATTCAAGATTCAAGATTCCTGAGGACTCTTTCCAGCAAATCTTGAATCCAGGATTCAAGATTCAAGATTCAAGATTTGCCCCAAAGAGTCCCCAGAAATCTTGAATCTTGAATCTTGAATCCGGATTCAAGATTTGCCCCAAAGAGTCCCCAGAAATCTTGAATCTTGAATCCTGGATTCAGGATTTGCTGGAAAGAGTCCCCAGAAATCTTGAATCTTGAATCTTGAATCCTGGATTCAAGATTTGCCCCAAAGAGTCCCCAGAAATCTTGAATCTTGAATCTTGAATCCAGGGGGTGGATTCAAGATTTGCTCCATAGAGTCCTCAGAAATCTTGAATCTTGAATCTTGAATCCTGGATTCAAGATTTGCTCCAAAGAGTCCCTAGAAATCTTGAATCTTGAATCTTGAATCCAGGGGGTGGATTCAAGATTTGCTCCAAAGAGTCCTCAGAAATCTTGAATCTTGAATCTTGAATCTTGAATCCTGCCGAAAGAATGCGTTCTGAATGCATTCTTTGCAAGATTCAAGATCCAAGATCCAAGATTCCCACAAGGGTTGGATTCAAGGCTTGAATCCTCTATGTATATATATATATATATGTATATACACTATATAACATCCCCCAAATCCCGGAATCCAAAATTACATACCAAAAATAGCACATTTTACTGTAAATACCAGTACTTTTGTGAAATTGGTAGGTCTTGGGGGGGGTACCATATATATATATTATTATATTATATATTATATATTATATATTTTATATTTTATATTATATATTATATATTATATATTATATATTATGGATCCATGATTGCAACATTAACCTGCCACATAAATGGTCCAAGATGTTGAGCTTGAAGCTGCTCTCTCATGTAAGTTTCACAATGTTCATGCTGTGCATTGATACTTATACTAGATGTTCATAAGATGTCATAAGTCTGTTCTGGATTGCAAGCTCAACACTCCTAGAAAACCCAGTTGAACAGGGCATGGCAACGCCATGACAGCCCACATTCCAAGGCGTCACAAATGGCGTTGAAGCTCCACCCTTCGGTGCGACCTGTGTTGACCAGTGTGGGAGTGGATGGGGTCAGCATGGAGCCTCAAAAAGTTTCCATCTGGTTGATGTTTTCATATACATTTGTTGTATGTTCCATCCCTACCTCCTGATGGTGATGGTGGTGATGATGATGGATGATGGACGATGGATGCTGGATTATGGATGACGAGGGATGATGAGGGATGATGAGGGATGATGAGGGATGATGAGATGATGAGGGATGATGATGATGATGATGAGGAGGAGGAGGAGGTTGATGTTGATGTTGATGTTGATATTGACGGAGGAGATGGATGATCAGGGATGATTACGAATGATGTTGTATTCATGTTGATATTGATGGACAGTGGCTTCAGATAGTTGCATTTTTTGGTATAACTACCGAAATTAAAGGGTTCAAAGAATTTGTTGGGGGGTGTCGACGTCACAACACCAGAATATTGGGGGAGCGACGGATCAATGGTTGACGGTGTCAACTATTTCCGTATTTTCCATCGCGACCTGAGCAGATTGGCGGCCCCAATTGACGAATATATTTGGGATGTGGTTTTAACCAGCCAGCCATGTTTGGAACTTGGTTTGAGCTTTACAAGTGCGCTTGCCTTGGACATGTAGAACAATCTCAACGTTCTTCACTGTTATCATTATCATCCATTATCAGAGGATTGATTTTTGATGCTTGTTACTGTGGACTGTAAGATGCAATAGAATAAGACCGAGCTACAATAGACGTAGAGGCATATTTCGGAATGATTCGACATATCCGCAGTCCAGCCCCTGTGCCCAGAGCTTCCTGCCGAGCCGGAACAACGCTTGACCGTGCCCACGCAATGTCTGGGGAGCCCAGCTGACTGCAGTGAATTTTGCATGGGGAAAGGTGGGAAAGGCACCTGAAGATGGTGGATCTAACCAATGCGGATGGGGATATCATGGGGATATAATATGGAAATTGTTGGTGTGTTTGCAAATGGGGTCTGGCCCCCCAAAAATGGCAACGTTGTTTTGGATAGTTCAATGCTAAACGTATACTTGACAGGGCGAATTGTGTGGGCAATGTGTGAGCCATACCAAATTTGTTCACTTGACACGTGAGCAGCTGTGAAAAGACTAGTGGTGAAACCCAGGAGGTGCGGGATCGCGAGATGGATACTGTACCCAGTGATTGTACAAGGAATGATACTAGCCAATTAGTAAACCATGCATGGAAAGCATGTCCACTGCCTTGGCAAGAAACTAGTTGGGACCAGTTGGTAGTGTTCCATTTCCAAAGATCGTAAAATATCATAAACATGTGTGACTTGGGGTGTGGGGTGCTCAGACATAAATCAACCACATGTTTCAGGACTATTCCAGGCACCTTGGTGGCCTTGAGGTCTTGGGATGGTCATCGGCAAGAAGGGTGAACATCTGAAGTCCCTGGAGCAGAAATACAAGGCCGGGCCGACAGCCTACTGAGATCTATTGAGTCTACTTTAAAATCTAGCGGATTTTGTCTGATTTTGTCAGAGGCCTCCTGGCAATGAATAGATATGAATAGCTTTCAATGTTCTTTCTTATAGGAATATCATGTGCAAATGGATCATCCCTCGTGGACTCTGGAGGGCTCGAGCATGCTCGAGCCTTGCCAAGGTTTCAGTGAAGCTGGACACGGATGAGACGGCTGGTCAGAGCCTTCAGAAGATGATCAGCTGATGGGTGACCAACACTTCTGGGAGATCACCCCACTTGTGGATCTTTGGGGGACCCCTCAATTTCAAGGAGTAAACTCGTGGTGGACGTGAGTCCTAGGAGACACCCACTCTGACACCATTGCAATCATGAAACATGTTTTATAGGCTCCTCAGATACTGCGTTCCAGGTATATACATTGCCACGTCCACTTGAGGCCTTTGCACGATTTGCGTGTCCGGAAAGTCTTCCAAATCAGTGGCTGCAGCTGTTGCTGAGTTGGACTTCGACTATCAGAGAGTTGAGGCCAAACATTGCGATGGGAGGGACATGGGTAGACAACTTGTTTGGAGGGATTTATGAGGTGGCAACACACAAGCGTCATCAGATTCTTTGTGGGCCCCTTACCCCAAGCCACACTATACCCATACTGCTTACTGGTCTCAAACATGCCATATCTTCCATCCCAGGAATTGAAACCACCAGCAGTTGTCGAGGTGCAACCAGAGGTGGCCAGCTGGCTGCGAAGCAAGGGACGCACGTTGAAGCTGATCAAAGAGATGACGGGGGTCACCCTGCCACCTGGCAGCTGCTTTTTTGGGGCTGGTTGGGATCTGGGGTGATGGGAACATGTTGGGCTGTATGACAGGGATTTGAATGGAACACACTTTGATGTATACCTGAAGATCCCCTAGAAGTTGGGTGTAAACCCGGGGGGGTTCCCCTTCTCAATCACCAACTGCTAGGTTTAAGACGGTTCTTAGTGGTCGGATGCACAAGTTTACTCCATGTCGATTGCATGAAGCTCCGAAAACTGAGGCTCAGGTTAACCAGCGAGGAGGAGATTGAGGGAGGCACCTTGGCGCTTGATCATGGCGCAGGAGTTGGTTTTGGTACAAGCTTCCAGGAAGTGGATCTGGTATTAAGATAGTGATGTCTGAAGTTTTGACTGCTGTGTGATTCTAGGCTTTTTCAGACATTCCTTGGTTGATTTGTGGTTTGGCGAAACATGCTGTCCACCGTTTCCAAACGAGGCGCGGCCCAAAGAACAGACGGAAAACCATGGAAGACTGGCTTAACCAATAGATGATTCCCTTTCCACTGACACCTTGAGGCACTACGCCCTCAGTCGAGATCAAAGGCCATGGGTGCATTGGGGGAAGGTGGTTGCATTGGAGGAGATAGCCTGAAAACACGAAAATTGCCTTTGTGTGGATTGTTATTGGTTGCCTTTTTTTAAGTTGAAATTGGGGATTCTGCCGGAGAACGACGAGCCGACTGTCACTAAATCCACTGCCACGCACCGCACGAGCACAAAGGTAAGCACCTGTGAAGACAGATCTGACATCTGTCTTCTCACTGATAGATGCAGGGATGCAACGAATGATAACTTCTAGGAGGGAAACCATGGTGATCCTTGAGGTTCCCCACTTTGCAGAAGCTGACATAACTCAGATTCTTCCGCTGCACTGTAACCTTGATCCATATCAACCCCAAGTATCGGTTTTGTCTGGGCCAAGTTGTATTATAGGACTATAGGATTCCTTTCACCAACACCACTGTCATTGTTGCAGCAGAATCCTGGAGATCCAAGACCCCTGTCTTCGCCACCTGGTGAGGTCTCAAGAGCCAGGTGCAGTCTGCCGTACTCTGCCTGCAGGCGCAGCGAACTGGAGGAATGCGCTGGCGGCGCTGTGGAGCCCAAAGTCAGGGTTTTTGTTCTTGTTGTAAGCTGGTGATACAGATCAACATCATGTCGCCGTCATCGTCCTCCTCCTCATCATCATCATCAACAACAGCAACAACAACTACAACAACAACAACTACTACTAATAATAATAGTACTACATACAACTAGAATCAACTACATACAACTACATAGAACTACAGACCACTACAGATAACTACAGACAACTACAGACAACTAGATACAACTAGATAATGATACCACTAGATACAACTAGATACAACTAGATACAACTAGATACAACTAGATACAACTACATACAACTAGATACAGCTAGATACAGCTAGATACAACTAGATACAACTACATACAACTACATATATATATAATTTATAACTACATTCAACTACATACAACTACATACAACTACAGACAACTACAGACAACTACATACAACTACAGACAACTATGGACGACTACAGACAACTACAGAAAACTACAGACGGCTACAGGCGATTTCAGACAACTACAGACACCTACAGGCACCTACAGACAGCTACAGACAACCACAGACAACCACAGACAACCACAGACAACCACAGACAACCACAGACAACCACAGAAAACCACAAACAATCACAGGCAACCACAGACAACCACAGAGACGACTACAAACAACTACAGACAACTACAGACAACTACAGACAACTACAGAAAACTACAGACAACTACAGACAACTATAGACAACTAGACAACTACAGACAACTACACACAACGACACACAACGACACACAACGACACACAACGACACAACGACACACAACGACACACAACGACAAAGAATGACACACAACGACAGACAACTCACAACTACACACAACTACGCACAACTACATACCACTATACTACACACCACTACACACCACTACACACCACTACAATCCACTACACACCACTACACACCACTACACACCACTACACACCACTACACACCACCACACACCACTACACACCACCGCACACCACTACACACCACTACACACTACTACACACCACTACATACCACTATATACCACTACATACCAGTACATACCACTACATACCACTACATACCACCACATTCCACCACATACCACTACATACTACTACATACTACTACATACCACTACATACCACTACGTACCCTTACATATCACTACATACCTCTACATACAACTACACACAACTACATACCACTACAATCCACTACACACCACTACATACCAGTACACACCACTACATACCACTACATACCACTACATACCACTACATAACCCTATATACATACCACTACATACCACTACATACCACTACATACCACTACATACCACTACATACCACTACATACCACTACATACCACTACATACCACTACATACCACTACATACAACTACATACAACTACATACAACTACATACAACTACATACAACTACATACAACTACATACAACTACATTGTTCTTGTTATAAGCTTCTGGAGGTAGTAAAAGTTCCAAACTGAATACATATGAGCATCAATGTCGTCATCGTCGTCATCATCATCGTCAACAACAACGACGACGACGACGACGACGACGACAACAACAACAACAACAACCTACTACTGCTGCTGCTGCTGCTACTGCTACTGCTGCTGCTACTGCTACTGCTACTGTTACTGCAGCAACAAGAACAAACACAAGAACTTCCACCTGTTTGCTGCAAGGCCCACATGAGTTACCACTCGGTCTTCGTGGAGATGGAGCAGGTACTCAATTGTCGCCTTATGCGTTCCCGTGTGTTTGCCAGTCTTTTTTCGTACATTTTATGTAATTATACTATAAATTATATATGGAAGATACTAAAACGCGCGTCAAAACGACGTGAGTCTACCAAATGACTGCCATTTCAGGTGGAGAAAGACCTAGACGAACGCATCGCAGAGGCGAAACTGTCGGGCCCCCCAGCCGCGATCTCGGAGACCATCAACGGTAGGTTATTGTACCTGCATTTTAGGGATTTGTTGGGGAGATGGAGATAGACATATAGATTATATTCATATACTCTAAGGTTATTCTAGACATGGATGATCTGAGGCAATTTGAAGGGCGTCATTTTTTTGTATTTTAAAACCTCCAACTGCTTTGCCAGGCACTGTGTACCATGGGCCGCTGTTCCGTTTAAAAAAGAGTCGCGTGATTAGCTGGGAAATCCCCAAAGCAAACGGACAATTGAACGGTAAAATCATGGACGCATCGAGAAAAATAATGAATTCCCAGAGGGTAACATGTTGATGGAACTGTTCCCACGGCTGGTATTTGGATGCCATTCCAGCCACTGAGCAGCAGGCACACTGCGCAAAGACCCGTTGCGTAGGGCGGCCCAACATTTTGGAAAAAAGGAACAGTTCCACAATGGTTCATCATGGTCCATCATGATGAATATGTCCAAGGGATTTCAATGAACTCATTCGGATAGCATCGGATAGCAGTTGTCAGGAATATACAACATTATACAACACACTTTGAGTTTGTTGTGGATCACTTATAGTGACTTATCTCCTCCGGCCTCCAAGTCCTAGGTCTAGAGGTGTGGGGCTTAGAGGCTTTGCTGTGACCTTGTGAGCCATGGATGGTTGGAATATCCATTGAATGAGGAGTTCATGAGACCAGGTATAGCCTGAATGCAGTACTGGGCAGTTGTCTACCTATGGTGCATCTCCAAAATCACAGTTTTAAAATGTTTTGGATAAGCCAAAGTTCAGAGGTCTGAATGCAGCTGCGCGGCCAATCCGAAGAACACACATCGCATGACAAGTCAGTTTATGAGTAAGAAACATGTGAGAATATGATCCATGTATCAGCAGATAGTGAATATATTCACCACTGAAAGATCCAGTTGCTTGGCTCTCGAGTTTGGCCCATACGAAGGGTGCCTAGTATCATCCTTCCTAAGGCAAGAGCAGGGAGCGTTCCCTGTCACGCCCGAAAGGCGTGGGACATTTCAAAACCGGCCGAAATATGGGACTTCTTGACCCGCCAGATCAGATTTGATAGAGTTTGGTCACGTCATAGTGTGTCCGTCACAGATGCTTCAATAGGATGGCATTCGATCCTTACAACCGGTTCGAGTTGCACCCCTGATTTCCAACCATTGAGCGATCAAGTGAATTCATCAAGGCTCAGGGCTCATGGAGCCCTCAGTTCTTGTCTGGTTGAAAGGAAAACTGCTGATATCCCCATATCCCCAACATTTGTTGGTTTTCCCATCATGAACCAGCAACTATTTGACCAGTTTACATTGCCAGGTCGGTCTCAATCACCCAAGAGCAAAGCAAAAGCTGGGACGCTTCAAGGCACCTTGGCCACGTTGCCAAGTTGGCCCCACGGCAGACAACCTGGCCACAGCTTGTATATAATGGATGTCACTCTGGGTTTGTCTGAAATTGGGGTATACCATCAAATTGCCATGTGGATATAGGGAACATGGTGATTCAGAATCAAATTTGGGGGTACTATGGGGTACTCGATTTTCAGATAAGCCCAGTTCTAAGGTTTTTCTCCCGTTGCCGAGGCAGCTCCCAATCTCCAAGAAGATGGCATAGTGCATCGAATGCAGGAGGTCGGTGATCAGACCGTCTTAGTAAGAAATTTAGGGGATCCCCCATTTTCAGATCCACTATGGTTTACTATGGTTTACTATGGTTTACTATGGTTTACTATGGTTTACTATGGTTTACTATGGTTTACTATGGTTTACTATGGTTTACTATGGTTTACTGGGATCGCAAATTACTGGTTTCCTGATTTCTTTCGCTTTTTTTGTCTCCTGGCAAAAGTACGACCCCCATCGCAAATGCAGGTCAATCACAATCACCACGATCCAAGGGATCCAAGGGTGCAGCACGCGGCAACCCGGCGAATCTGATTGTTGAACAATCTATGGCATGTATATATATATATATATATATATGAGCCACCGCAAAAACCCCGGCAATACTAAATATGTATTGGACGGACATTGGTTTATGGAAATTGATGGAAATTAATAAAACCCCACGGTAAGCGATGGGACCTTCCCAAATTAGCGATACCCCTTTTCAAGGTTATGTCATTGTATTTCTCTAATATCCACATTAGCGATACCCAAATTGGACGTTGATTTCTGTGAATTATATACAAAAAAATGTAGCAGTTTCCTGCAAGCGATACCCCCCAAGTTTACCATATATCATTATTGTACAAACGTGTGGTAAGCGATGGGACCTTCCCAAATTTGTGGATGTCCTTTCCGTGAACCTAGGGTTTTCGAGATTGCTCAATATATACATACATAAATATCAATAAATATAGAATATAATATACACATGAATATATTCGGATTATATGTGTTCAAAACATTCCAAACTCCCAAGGCAGATTGATTGGTGAATAGTTTGGAATTTAGAGGATTCAACTCTGAAAGGTGACCCGGCAATAATGGATGGTTAAGAATCCAGTTTCAAGATCATAGACCTTAATCTACTGTTTTGCATTTTTCTGTGAATCATTGGGATATTTCCTCGTATGATCATGCGTCTAGGCAACACCAAGTGCAATACGTCGATCCTGTTTGACCTGCTTCACCCAGACGCATGCAGTTCACAGTTTTCGTGCCTGTTTATGCTATCATTGAAGCATGGGATGAATGCAGTTTGATTACCACAGAGTTTCTTCTTTGTACAAAGATATCACGTTCTGAAGGATGGTAGTTACCTTTTGAAAAGGGTTCCAGCATTCGTTTCATGGAAGTTGCTTTTGCAGGACAAGTAATTCTGTCCGCCCAAGTAGTGATAATCCCCTAAAATATTCAACAATTATATGAAAGCATATGCGATCCTAAAAGGAAGATATCCAATACTAGGTTCTGATTACTAGTATGTTTGGATACATGGAAGCCACCAGCCAAATCACAATGTCGATTTGTGGATCCCTTTGGTCGGAAAGTGGAAAGGCACACCTGCACACTGCATTTTCCCAGGTCGCGGTAACCGATCCCAATCTCCAAAGTCGAAGAATGCAGGTGCCTGACACAGTTTGTGGCAAGAGTTGTGGTAAGCCCTCCAAAGTCCTGCTAGTGTACTAAATATGTAGACATATTGTGACGTATTATAAATGTTATCGGTTATCGTGCCCTAGTCGATACTCCGCTTATATCCCTATATTATTAAGATATTATTATATTATTGATATATATATATATATTAATATATTAATATATTAATATATATCAATATATATAAATATATATATATATATATTATTGGTTAAATCCCTATATTTTGGTGCAAAATCCCAGCCATCCAGGGGGACCCCAGGTCGCCCTGCTGCCATTGGCGCTGAGCCGGAGAGGGAGCCCAGGCCCAGTGTCCGGGCTCCCAATTTGCAGCAAAAAATATCATGAACCAATGGTTTTTAAGGGGAATTGATGGGTTGACAATGTTGACACTTATAGATTTTATGGATTTTATGGAAATTATATGAATGAATCGCTATTTTCCAAGTGTTTATAATGGGAATTCATGTATTCCATGCTGATTCATAGGGATTGAACCAACAACAATGGGGATTCCAAGCCAGCCACGTTTGATTACTGGACGGTAAACCACAAGAAAAAAACATTCAACTACTATGGAGAAGATAAGGTTCGAAGCTGGATTTCTAGTGAACAATGTGAACCTATGTGAATAAATGGAGTGGAATGGCGTACGACCAAACATCGGCATGTGCAGCAGGAAAATCATTGAACATGGAGATGCAACCTGATAATCATGATATCACTGTGACGGATTTTAAACGGGAATCTAGTCATAGCGCAGATACTGGCTGGTATTTAAGGGATTGTTGCCAAATTGGCCTTTCGATTCATGATTTCATCATCTTTATTCATATCATATTCATATCTTTCATATCTTTCAATTCAATCGCGCTTCAGAATCCACCAGCTTTCCCTATCATCCTATCCCCATGGCCATGACAGCCATCCGTCGGAGACCTGGCCCTTCCGAGGCTGGCGGAAAAGGTGGACGTCGAGGACGAGGCTTTGGGATCTTCGTTTTTTCTGCACTTGATGGAACATGAATGTCATATTCCGGATTGCACGGAAGAAACTTGATTGGCCCACAAAGTCTACAATGCAAAATGATGCAAAATGGCAAACCCAGTAAGTAGATGCAAGTAGGTGGAAAGATGTGGAAAGTGTGTTTCCAGTTTGTGAGTATGTCCATTTTGCTGTCCCGAACTGATCTGGGTTTGTTTGGAAATTGGGTATACCTCCAATTATAGCCATTAAATACCATGAAATAGGGGAAATGATGATTGATCATCAAATTGTGGGGTACTCGTACCACATTTTCAGACATCTGAACATGTTAGAATGGATGTCTCCACTATCAGAATCTGCAGGCCGTGGTGGCAAGGGTGGTGCGATCGGCGCTGGGTGATAAAACGATGCTGCCTGGAGCGTGCAAGCTGTTAGGATGTTTATGGCAATTGGCGGGGTGAAATGATGAATGTCATACAAGTTTGACCTTTCTAAACCTTGGATGCATTGTGCCAAGTTTCTTGTAAACTGCAGTGCTGTTCAGACCTCTCTCGGTTGTTTGAATCAGATCGATACAATTTGGCTTACAGGGCGCATTGTGGCATGGCAATGTTTTGGTATGACCATTGCTGGAAACTGGTAACTGGGTGTTGGACCTACTTGTTTTCACCATGTTTCAAGTGACACGAACAGATGCGAATGTCATCACCATGTTTCATCCTTTCCATGGGCTTGCCATCCAGAATATTTTGTGGGCTTGCCATCTGACGGCGGTGAACAGCGCCGGCCAAAAGATGGCGTCTTCCGACGAATGCCGCCTGTGTTGGTGCAAGGATTTGGATGACCTTGAAGATGAAGACAAACATATTGCTGCAGGGAATGCAGGACCTGGACGAATTCTCATGTTTGAGATGTTTAAAATTGAAGCATGACGGATGTCCCTAAATCCACTAATTTTATTTGGTTTTAAGTGGAGTGGCGTTCCATAGTATTCCCCAATTTTAGATCAGCACCAGTTTCACTTTGTTTTATCGCTTGTGCCTCTCATCAGAAGGGTTCTGGATCTCTTACGCAGCCAGAGATGATCTGAGCTGATCCGGGGTGAAGGGTCTTGCACTTGAATCAGATCACCATTTTTTGGTAATAAACCCCATCCCGCAAAGGTAGGTTGATTACTCGGTTGACCACATTAATTACTATGATTACTATGTCAGTGTAACTGTGGGCCATTTTTGATAGCTATGTTAGTTTACTGGAGGGGATTGAGGATGATTGGTGATGATCGGTATATGTTCCAGCCAACCCTCACAGGACACCTTTGCTTTCCCTGCAACTGCCGAGCACCTGTGCATGTGAGATGTCTGTCAGAATGGCACCAGGCTCTCCTGTGGCGGCAAGCAAGGGTGCAAGTAGGACAGACAACAGGAAATGATATTACACAACGTGATATACATACATGCATACATACATACATACATACATAGATAAATACATAAATAAATACATAAATAAATCAGATATGTGTTTAAACAGTTTAAGCATGTTTCAATACGTATCATTAGATTATTGTCATATTAAGTATGTTTACCTGCAGATAGTTTGCATTTAAAGACCCAATTCTTATGGGATGAAAATCTGTAGATCCAGTCGATCGCATGGATTCAGCAGTCAGTTGGTGCTTCTTTAGTGGAGTGTGGTAAACATGGTAAACCCAATGCACCCTGATTGAGTATGGCTAATAGCAACTAACAACCCCGAAGTAGTTGCACCATGGTTTAGAGATGGCTGTGTTGAATTTTAGGTCTACCACGTCATTGGGTATAGGTCTACCACGTCATTGGGTATGCAGCATACTCAACACTTGTTCCCGTGTTGTGATTTTGCTTGTTAACGTGATTGATTTCGAAGTGTATGTTCAGCATGTTGGCAGTGGTTTGTGTTCTGCGTCCACCCAGGCAATGGTGAACCCAAACAAAAACGAGAAGCAAACGTTCAGTCCCCAACTGACTATTTTTTGATTTTAAGCACATCTATCTGTACTACCGAGTTAACCATAAAATTCTATGGGCAATGCCTGCACTTTGTCAAAACCCTCGGTTTCTTTGATTTTGTCATGTTGCAGCCCCTTTTTGCTAATTCAATTTAATGCTCATGTCGGTTAGCAGCGTCTCTTAATGCTTTCATTGACGGATCCTGTAGTCTCCTTGTGCCGCCAGTCTCGATGGTGGCAACTATTGGAGCAGGGCTTCAATTTTGACGAAGCACATGCATCGCGGCAGCAACAGGTGAAAGTTATCGGGTGTATGGCTAACAAATATGGCATCCATGCAAGAACCTGCATCAACCAAAAAGATAGCCGACTATTGGCTTTGATGCGATGGGTCTTAATCATTCCTAATCTATGATGCCATAATTTGAGGGATGAATCTCGTTTCAGCACGTTCCAGTTGTTTTTAATGTTCACCATTGTACTAGGGTGTTGATTCAATATCCAACTGGGCAAAACGCAAGAAAACGGTAGTTTCCTGTGAGACTTGTTTGTTCTCTATGCTCCAATCTCGGTTTTCATCCGTTTTCCCCAACGTCCAGCATCATTTCCAGCTCAAGCAATCCTGGTCAAGAGAAGGGCCAGCTTTAACATCATCAATCTTAAGATATCTAGCTCTATTGTGATCCCCTCGATGACCCCACGCGAATACCATTATATCAAGGCCAGCTCCAGCTTATGTTATACCCCAATTATATAATTGGACCCCAGAGCAGGATCATCATAGGGATCACATTCCATTATACCCCAAAAGATCCTGATTTTGGTAAACTCCCATCCTTGAAAATGACTGGAACATCAGATAATTCATCAATTTTTGGGGGGGTCGGATCGCTATCCTTATAGCAACTAGATCTTCTTTCAATCCAAAGCTCCCAAAATTGATATCCCCTATTGATATCCATTGATATCCTCTGATTCCCATGGCACCCTTGAGGCGCGCATCGACACCTGCGAGGTTTGCGGTGCCCGTTGGATGACCCGCGGACGGCCCAAGCCCTTGGCGGCCTGGGCGCTGTGCCGGGCACGGGGCGGCACGGGGAAGGTGGCACTGAGGCGGGAGCTTGTGGACTTGGGCCATTGAGGGAGTTGTTGCTTCATATACGTTTATTCTATGTCTATCTATGTCTATTATGTGTGTATATAAGTTGATATCATCATATATATAATATATGTATATAATTATTGTTTAAATGAGTGTAATCATGATATAGGAAACCAATAGCTAATATATTAAAGTCAGAATTGGGAAACGAAGATCAAGAAGGTTAATGATGAGGTGTTTAGGATCATCCAAGCTGATCTGAACGAGGCGTTTCCCTACTCTGTCCCGAGCAACGAGAAACTTCTCGGCCACTTGGCGGAAAATGGATGGATTTGGAGAATGAAGCCAAAGGGACCTGACCTTTCTGAAGCAGTTGAATCCAGCATGAGTATTGAATGGTATATATATTTAAAAGTTAGTATACCAGCACTTCAAGGTGATAGTTGATACAAATCATCAATCCATAACAGTTGGGCGACAGAAAGATCCATAACAGTAGCGTGTGCAGATGCAATCTCCTGTGACAGATTACTGACCTGGTGGACCTGACCACGTTGCACTATGTCTCTGTTTGTATGATGATTAGTATGATTAATAAATTGTCTTCTTGTGCACTATCACATATATACAGTATATATATACACCATGGACCATGGATAGATATATAATGATATATAGCCGTATGTACTGTTTGGTTGTGTAGTGCGACTACTGTATCTATCCGCATCCTACAATCCCCAGCAGGTCCATCCCATCCCTAGGACTACGCAGCCGCTAATGGTCAAAGATTGGAACTGCTGGAGAGACTTGGTTGCTGATGATGTCGGTAGTTCTCAACATTTTGGCATTCCATATATGTCAGTTTTTTTTTCTTCTCGAACTATAAGATTTAAACAGAGAACAAGTGAAGTACATTGAAGTACATTTTTTGGGGGGTTGCCCTTCATTTTGCCGATGTGATTGTTGGTACAGGTACTATATATATTAAACAAATATATATATATAGATGCTAGCTCTGTTTATCTGCCCAATCATATCATAATATTATATATATATATATGTCTAGATTATTATATACTACTATATATTTTTTTATAATATTTATACACCCACATTTTTTATTCCGTGGCAAACGTGCAGCTGAGGCAAGACGTCACCGGCGAATTCTTCCGTGTCCGCCTGGCTCCAGCAGCGTTCTATCAGGGGGAAGGCAGCAGCGCCATTGCTGAAGGTTGGATACGCCATGCGCCTTGGCGACGGTCCCATCCCATCTGGGATCATCTGGGTAAATACTTAGTGACCTCACTGGATTCATGATTAGGATTTGGGGAAATCATGCCCAAATGGCCTGACTGCAAGTTAGTGACATTTTATCATTTACCCAGATCCCATCCCCTTAATAATATGGAGAACCCCGTCATGATTATCATGTTGTTATATGTTGTTGGTATATTGTTGGATATATGACTCGTATGACCATTGATGGTTGGTTTGATATGGTTTGCACAATCTCCATATAATACCATGATAATCCCATGCCCTTAATAGTAAACACCCCATGAATGGATATAAATGGTCCCAGTCATATGCCGTTTGAAGGATGTTTAATATGAATCAGGGATGGAATTATGTGTGCAGATGGCAGAAGGGCTGGCGGCTGGAGCATGACGTGCTTGACACATCTTGACACTACAGCAGGACCATGTCAAGACAGCCTCAGGGGTACCTTGAAATCCTGTGGCCCTATGGTTTATCATTGTCTTTCCACTTCAAACGTAGTCTTGGGGTATACATTTCTGGACTCTGGACAACACATATCTTGATGGTAGATGGCCGTTAACTAAGGTCTACCTTGAATTCGAATCCGTGCCTTGATTGCGTTTTGACTTGCTGCCTCCAAGAGGGGCATCATGGTCCTTTAAGTTTAGGGGTCATGAAATTCGTTGGGTTTGTCGGCGGGTTGAGGTTTGAACATACGGTATCTATAGCTAGTTGATCAATGTTGAAGGTACAGTGGACTTCCATGGATTTCCTATGTCTCATTGTGCTGTTGCGTCCACAATCAAGTCGCACCAGCTTGCAGGACACATCCCATAAGAAGTCCACAAGAAGTTGGGAGTCTGATGCACCAGGACCACAACCCACGGGACGGTTTTCCTACTTTTACGGTGTTTTAGTATATGATATACATTCACCCTATATATTTTACAGTATATATAAATATTTTTGCACAATCCAAATACGAAAAGGATAATTTCTGCTGACTAGTTCTTCTTGATAATATTTTTCGGCAATTTGCCCCATCCACCTGTCATCCCAAGGAAACGGTTGCGGCTCGCTTGCCCACGCCCACAATGCCGCCTGCATATACTTAATTACTTCCAGTTCTTGACTTCTGAGGGGTGAGACCGGTGAGACTTCAGCGATTGTGACGTTGAAAGTCTGACATTGCTGAAATGTACACCGTTACTGTACACCTGCTTGTTGGACTTTGTTGATGACTGGGGACGCGACAACAGAAACTGCTTTGCAACATAGAGTCTGAAAGATTAGACCAATGTGGGAGACCCAACCATATCTTCAATATAATTGGGAATCCTGGTTTAAGTTTACTGCTGCTGCATTGTTACACATATACACCTTATACACCGTTCAAACCGTGGAGGCTGCAGAGAATCAGTGGCACATTGCTTGAAGTGTTCCTTATTGCATGTGAAAATCTGACGATTTTGTGCACCACGGAATTTAAGATAATTTAAGAGTGAACATGGGAAGGCACATTGAATTGGAAAATGAACAGCCACCAGCCACCATTTGATTCACATCTGAACTTAGCTCTTTGGATTTTGTTCTGGGAAGGAACACTCACACACACACAAATCATGGTAATTTGGGAGATGTTCAAACATGTTCAAACTGTGGTCTGCAAATATATGACTCCAAAAAGTAGGGACAAAAGAAATTGTCATTGCGACAAAAAAGCCACCAGAATGTCCGACACAAAGCCTGCTGAAGCAGAAAAATCTGAGGCCAGGTTGGTGTGGGACTACAGCAGCCCATACTGTTGATGGTAAGGTTTGTTTGCGTCAACAAATGTTCACACAACCCCGTGATTCAAAGGGTCGAATGCATGCAAATGAGTCAAGAAACTGACGTGGAAGTTGTACCATTATGTCCAGATGTTTTTGAGTTTTCCCGAGATGTTGTTCTCACCTGAAGAAGAATAATAAGAAGAAGAAGACAGGCTTTCCAAAACTGTGTATATACCATTATATACCAGGTTTCGATATGGTTGTACATCCCCTGGTAGGGTTGATGTTTTAAGCGGTTCAAGGAAAAGTGACATGATTGGGCAGGCTCCACAGGATTCCACAGTGGACTCCTGTATCTCAGCAAGATCATGTAGTATTTGAAGCAGAGATGGAGCCAGCGGATTTCATGACATCTCTGAACTTTGGTCCTTTTGGAAAGTGATTCTGGCGCCAGACAAAACCCCCACATGATACCATTTGGCTTTGCACTACTGTTACAAGTCAAAGGGATTTATGGTAGTTTATCGAAAGGTACAATCAAATTCCCTACTAAACCAACCAGCATTTGCTGGATTCCTGGCTACATACCTCTTGTTCTTGTTCTTGTTGCTGTTGTTGGTGGTGGTGGTGAAGTTGAATTCCCCAAACTTGTTTTATATCCTGAACAAAAGACATTTGTCTCCCTGAAAAACAAACATGTCCATCACGTTTTTTTCCGTTGCCTGGGGCAGGATGGGAAGAACCAAAGCATTTTTGAGTTGATCGATGCGGGGACCTCAAGAGCCTTAGGCCCTTGGCAGGTGCTGGGTGGCCACTTTCGAGTTATTTTCAGATGCAGTACACGTCAACAAATGAATCGCATTCAATGGTAACATGGCAATCCAAAAGAGCTGCATAGTTGAAAATCGTTGTTTGGTCCCAAGAAAAGAGACGGCACCATGAATGATGGCAAGAGGAAAACCACACCAGAGTCAATCAAAGCTCTGGAAATCGAGCTTTTGTACAGTATGCCAGGTCCATTGACATCCGGATTGGCCTTACCATTGATTCAGGACCATCAATTGATATGTGGATTAAGATCCATGACTACCAACTAGTTTGTTGTGAACAGCAGGGTACCAGGATTTGATCCATGGCCGAACCCCTTAGTCTTGGATGTTTTATATAATTATTGTATATTATTGTAATTGAATGACACCATATGACAACCACACAATTATTGGTTTTCCATGGAATTACATTAATTCACATTAATCCCCATGACAATCGCCCATGGCTCATGGATCATCAAGGAACCCCCCCAGATTTGATGGTCAGCTCCCACTCCAAGGAGGTCGTCCGGATTGATCGCGGGACCTTGACCAAGGTGGCCTGTTTAGAAAAAACACACCAAAATGTCTGTGATTTATGGAGGATTTATGGATGTTCCACCCAAAAATATCTGGTGTAATAGGATGTAATAGGTGTGGAAAAAATTGTTGATCTATCCCCAAGTGATGCGGCAGTGGTGAGTTTGTTGCTGGATCACAAGCAGATGACTTCAGACGCCCGGGCAGATCTTAGCTGTCTGTGTGACAGTGCTGCTGCTGATCAGTGGAAGTCTGGTTTACCAGGAGGCCGGGCAGATATGAACCCCATGATCCCAACTTTGGTCCGGTGTACCACTTGAAAGATGGTTAATGATGATGAGGACTATATATAACTACCACCTCAAGTGGAAAAACACGTGAAATGTGTGACATCAAGTGAAATCCCATTATTACTGTAATTAATGTGTTCAAGACCTCCCATTTCATCCAATTTCATCCATTTGATCATGGTGATATGGTCCTACCACATGGTCAGGTGGCAGCTGGACGAAGTCATTTAGCCGCCGTCTATGGTGGCTCCTTGGCAGGAATCAGAGATGGGTTTGGGAATCCAAAATGACTGGTTTGCAGAGAATTATCTCGGATTGTATGTTCAAAGTGTTTTTCCCGAATGCGTAGCAAGGGTTCCCGTTTCACTCTGGGGGTCTGGGGGTTGAGAGTGTGTTCGCTCGACGTTGCGTCCGCGTCCGCAACCGTCCGCAACCGTCCGCAACCGTCCGCAACCGTCCGCAACCGTTCGCAACCGTCCGCGCGAGGACCGTATGGCCGTGCCTATGGGAAGTTCTGCAGAGGTGGTAATTTTTGGAGGTTTCAGACGTGTCGTTGCTTCGTTTCGCGTGGCAGGCGTGGCACTTCGTGACATTCAGACGTGTTCTGGAACGTGTCGAAAGTCGTTTTGCGTGGCAGGCGCAATACTTTTGCGACGTTTTCAGAAGATGTGTTGCAGTTTTCGTGGCAGGCGCAGCACTTTGGACGTGTCCATCGTCATTTTTCGTGGCAGGCGCAGCACTTTAGACGTGTCATGTTGCGTGTTTTTTGCAAATCGCATTGGCAGGGCTGCGTCAAGTGGCGACAAGGTGCAAATTCCGTGGCAGGCGTGGCATTTTCTCACATGTGCTGAAAATTGACGGAAGCCTCGCACGAAACATCGATTTTGAGGTTGCAAATTTTCAGGTTCTAAGGAAAACTCGTAGGAAAACGTCGATTTTGAAGCTGCAAAGTGTGAAAATTGGAGGAAGTCTCGCACGAAATGCTCGTTTTGGTGCTCCCACCTGTCTCGTCTCGAGTCTCTGGTTTTCCTGTGGCCTCGCCGTGTCTATGGGGGAAGCTGCAAAACTTGTCCTTTTGTCATGTTGCCAACTGTGAAAATTGCCGGAAGTCTCGTACGAAATGCTCGTTTTGGTGCTCCCACGCGTCTTGTCTCGAGTCTCTAGTTTTCCTGTGGCGTCGCAATGTCTATAAGGGAAGCTGGAAAACATCTCCTATTCGAATGTGTCCAAGCAGGTTGTTATGTCCTTTTGCGTGGCAGGCGTGGCACTTTGTGACATTCCAAGCTGTTTGATAACGTGTCGAAAATGTCAAAATTGGAGGAAGTCTCGCACGAAATGCTCGTTTTTCTGCATCCATGTGTTTTGTCTCGAGTCTGGTTTTCCTGTGGCGTCGCCGTGTCTATGGGGGAAGCTGCAAAACCTCTCCTTTTCGAAGGTTTCCAAGCAGGTTGTCATGCCGTTTTGCGTGGCAGGCGTGGCACTTTGTGACATTCCAACTTGTTTGATAACGTGTCGAAAATGTCAAAATTGGAGGAAGTCTCGCACGAAATGCTCGTTTTTCTGCACCCACGTGTCTCGTCTCGAGTCTCTGGTGTTCCTGTGGCGTCGCCGTGTCTATGCGGGAAGCTTCGCACTCCACACTCTACACTCCACACTCCACAATTCCACAATTTACACTTTAGACTCCACACTCCACACTTTACACTTTGCACTTTACACTCCTCACTCCTCTCTTGCGACTTTACATTCCACACTCCACACTTTACACTCCACATTCCTCACTCTACACTTTACACTCCACACTCTACACTTTACTCTCTACACTCCACACTCTACACTTTACACTCTGAACTATACACTTACACTCCACACTCCACACTCTACACTTTACACACTCCACACTCCTCACTCCTCACTCCACACTCTATACTCCACACTCCTCACTTTACACTCCACACTCCACACTCTACACTTTCCACTCCACACTCCACACTCCACACTTTACACTCCACACTCCACACTTTACACTCTACACTCATCACTCCACACTCCACACTTTACAATCCACAGTCCTCACTTTACACTCCACACTTCACACTCTACACTTTCCACTCCACACTCCACACTCCCCACTCCACACTTTAGACTCCAAACTCCACACTTTGCACTCCTCACTCCACACTCTACACTTTACACTCTACACTCCACACTCTACACTTTACTCTCTACAGTGTACACTCTACACTCCACACTCCACACTTTGCACTCTACACTCCACACTTTACATTTTACACTCCACACTCCACACTCTACACTCCACACTCGACACTCTACACTTTACACTCCACACTCCACGCTCTACACTTTACACTCTACACTTTACACTCTACACTCCACACTCTACAATTTACAAACTCCACACTCCTCACTCCACACTCCACACTCCTCACTTTACACTTCACACTCCACACTTTGCACTTTACACTCCTCACTCCACACTCTACACTCGACACTCCACACGCTACACTCCACACTCCACACTTTACACTCCACACTCTACACTTTCCACTCCACACTGCAGACTGGTAACAGGGGAAATATGAACAAGACTGTTCAAATAAACTATTGCAGAAAAGTGTTGTGTGCACTGCATATCCATCTGTTTTGACATCTGTGCCATTAACATACGTGTGAGCATTCGGGTTCGTGGGCTTCATCTTGTTTTCATATGTTCCATGCAGACGTCTCTTTTTCGTGGGTTGGTTGGTTCACTTGTATCACCTGAGGTTCTTCTCCGCTTGCTTGACACCCATACATCAATGTTAGTTATTCCTTGCAGAGTGCTTTGATAAGACGCATCCCAGTTGGCTCGCGAGGTTTTTTCCTGCTCGTTTTGGGCTTGATAGCTTCAGCCAAGTCCTCAATCACTGGCATCACTGTGGATCTTTGGTGGACACGCTGCTAGGAAGTTTTTTCCTGAACTTTGGTGGCCCATTCCCATTTGGATATTATATAAATTATAAATGATTAAATGGTATTAAATGGCTAAATGGCTTAATATAAATTTGAAATAAATGCGTGATTTTTTGGATCTGAATCATATAATCTTTTGGTCTTTGGTGTTAATGATGTTGAAACAGATCCATCCAACTTGCCGTGGCTTAGATCCCAAGTGTTGTCTCTTAAAGCCACCTGTTTTTGTTGGTCACGGCCCAATTAAATTCAGTGACACCAACTTGGAAGAACAGCTTTACATACGATCATGTAGGTTGAGCCCCAATATTTCTAGTTTTGTAATGTGTTATTAAAGTTGAGAGTTGAATCTCCAGCAGTTCCCCATCCCACCTGCGTTTATTGCACAGCTCCAAGGTGGCCTTCGTTTTGCACGAGGCTTCTCAGTTGGAATCCACACAGGCAATGGCGAGTTGTTTGCGTCGCCTATTATTTGGGATATGTCAAGATGTGATACAGTTAGTAACTAGTTAGTTATTCCCTCCATCCATACATCAATGTTATTTGTGGGATACAGGAGCTGATATACACAGAATTCGCTATCAATTGCCATCTTTGGATGGTGTAAAGACACCGAATTTCAAAAGTCTGAAACTCTACAAATGTGCTGACCTGCTCATAATTGCCGCCGGCACCAGGTGGACAAAAAGAGCCAATAGAGCAGGACAAGAAAAAGTGCTTGCGAAGCTGGGCCAGAGCTGCTGCGTGGAACTTCAGTCCTGGAACCTCCAGTGATAATTCTCGACGGCCGCAGGGTGCTGGAGTCAAGAAACTAGGTACTAGTAATTTGGATCTCTAAGGAAAACAACAAAGGTTAAGTTGAATGTCTGTCACATCATGTCCGAGTACGAGAGATGCTGCTGGCCGCAACCACTGTTTGTCAAGATGGTAGCAGCCTTCATTGGTGCCGACTATCTAAGACTCTGAAGTGGTGCCAGCTGAACAGAGGTATAAAGATAGGCTGCACAACTAATTTGAGTGAAACCCCAACTTCCTGATTTGTGACTCATGCACCACTATAGAAGTGCACACCTGGCACAAGGATACATAAAAAAAAACAGCTTCTGCACTGAACAAGTGAGCCATCGTGAAAGCTATTGAGCCCCAAAGTATCCCAAAAAGGAAGGGGTAGCCATCTCCAGAAGACCATCAGACAATCTTCGTCAATTGATCTTCTGAAGTTGCCCGAGTTGCCCCAAGAAACAATCCACACGCCGCCATGAGAGCCCTGGAGCGACAGCCTTCGCCCCAGCAACGCTTTGTGATCGACCTGGCAGAGACGTGCCTTGGCGCAATGCCTGGGATCTGGGATCCCAAGAAATTGGTATGTGATTGGCAAAGCAATAAGAAATCACCCATATTTTGATGGTTTGTACCAACCATGTGTATATATTGAATTTGGGGATTGGTACCATTGCTTTACCTAACATTGTATTATTACTAATTATTACCCACCAAATTTGTGGGTTTTGTATGAAACAAATGGATATCACATGATATCACCCCAAAGATGCGACTCTGTGGTCCCCAGGCCCACGGTGCCTACGGTATGGACTCACACCAATGGTTCCTCCATGGTGAGCGCCTCTCCGCCGATGCCTTGGGCGCCATTGGCTGGACCGTTGACTACACAAGGCCCGGGGTTGGTATCTGTGGTAGGTACCATTGGAAGGTATGGTAAGGCACCATAAACTCCAACTGTAACATGATCATCATACCTAAACCTTCGGTGATGTGCGAAACAATGGTAGGCTGGTGAAGGTGTTCTTTTCTTTGTCACGTGAAGATGAGCATCATACAAGCAGCAAAGATGAGGGTTTATTTTTAACTGTCTCAGTGCATGAACTTGTAATCAATGCTGACAGGATCGTGCAAGACCCTTCCAAACCAGTTGATCATCAAGGTTCATCATTCATACATCCTATCCAAACATATGGTATTCACATGAAATTTGAAACACCCACTGAAACCTCCCAGATGTTTGGAGGTCAACCCCTCCACTTCCGATCCCCAGGCCTCCACGGCGCCCGGCTGCGCCAAGCCCACTCTCCGCGTCCCTACTCGGTGGCGCGCCACGCGGTGGCCGCGGTGACGGCCACGCACCACCCGCAGCGCACCGGGGTGGCCTCGCCGGCGGTGGCGGCCAGGCCGTGCCACAGCTTGCAGTCGCCAAGGCGCCTGCAGCCGCAGGAGGTCTATGAGATGCAGCATCCCAGGAGATGGGGATGGGATGGATGGGATTTTTTGAATGATGGTGGGGGATTGGGATTGGGAGTGTTGGAGGTGGAAAGGGGTTGAAAAGGGTGTACTTGTTGAGAATGTTGCAGAATGGTGTATAAACATGTGTATAGTGAATGGTGGATGCATGTTCGTTTCAGCCCCTTGTTTGCCGGCTGTTACTTGTTTTTGCAGTTCTGTTTTGAGACTTCTTCATCGCTAGCGGCTACTTGAAATGGATCAGTGATAGCTATTTTGTTTAGTCGTGCATCAGGAACAGCAACATCCTGAGCCGAATTACATGGTATTTGCAACTTAAAGACCAGAGTGTCACAAATTTGATAATTTCCAGCAACTTAATATAACTACTAGAGTAGTAGAATGTAGTAGACTCAATTATCTCAATTTCAGGTGCATACTTACTTTTGAATACCTTTGATACATGCTCAAATCCCTCATGACCTGGGCTTCAGATAATAAACATGCTTATTCTTCACCATTTGTTGGTAATCAAAGTTGGCACTGGAAAAATTGCTGACTTTCCATGACTTTCCATGACTTTCCTCCAACAAAATTGGTGGATGATGTTAGGATGATGACACAACATCTCCAGGAGCCCTCGGCAACACGACGCCGTCGCGGCCCCGCGCCGCTTCCAGCCGGTGGTCGTCGCGCCACCCCGCGAGGCCCCCGCGCCCGGCGGAGCGGCCGCCGCTGCCGCCGCCGCAGGCGGCGGTGGAGGTGGCGCGAACGCCCAACGTGCCGCCACTGGCGCAGGGGCCCAACACGTTGGTACCAGGGAACCTTGGCTATACGGTGGTTCCTGGATTGGGAGCTAAGGAGCTATTATATGGTTGTATTATGTTGTATTCATAATGATATTCCCAATCAAAAACTAGGGAAACCATGGAGTTACGAGTTTGAGTTTCCCAATGACATGATGACTGATGATTGGATTTTAAAACGAAACAACGGTGATTGAAATTGTTCTGCATCATTCAGCAGCACCGACTTAGGAGTTAGATTGTAAGGTGGAAATTGGTTCAGCAACACACTTTGAAACTGCCTCATGTCCATGGCCGTGACTCAGGACAGAGCTGCAAGTCGGCTTCATGCGCCTGAGATGTGAAGAAATGTTAGGCCATTGCTGACGGTTAAGATGTCAACTACCGATTTCTATCTGATTGTGGTTCTTCCCAGGTGTTACAGCGTAGTTGACCTGTGCTTTGAACAAATGGATTGACAGAAGTGACGCTGCTGAAAACCACCCTACTACATCCTACTACTACTTACTTGGAGTATGACTCAATGTGATTGACATGCACCTTGTGATGGGCCATTGGTATTAAGCATTATTAAGCAGTATAGAGGTGATAGAGGTGTACAGTAGCCGTGTCTCCATGTGCCGCTTTGTGTTCCAGTCCTCCGCAACGACCTGAGTTCTTGTGGCATTTTGTGGCGCAGGCAGTGGTTCATACAGCACTGTTTGGCTGGCCAATGTGGTGATGGCCTTAGTATTGTTTTTTCGAAAGAACATTTGAACTGCAGGATGCAGTCTCAGGCTGTCTTGCAAATTGATGTCATGCAATAGCTGCGGGTTGTGACCTTTCATGTTAAAGTTTACTCGTGTTGATTGGGCAATGAATCTAGATGAAGGGAGTTCTCTGTGAAAAGTCAAATGACCTCGTTGAAGGAGAATTCGACATTGCTGAATCGCACATTCGGCAGCATTTCCCATTCAGACTTGTTGAGGTGTCTCAGTCTCAACGACAGGTGGCTCTGGGGCTGCTTTTGTTTAGCTTTGATTGTGCAACTGCAACAACCAAAAGAATGAAAAGTGGATCTAAATTGAAGGGAAGCATCACTTGCCAGAATTCCTAGTGTTAGCTAATGTACTTTCCACAAACTGAGCTTTGAGTGGTCTCCTCCAACTGAGCTTTGAGATTGATTCCAAGTCGCATGCCCTGAGCCCATTGGATCTACCGCGCACAGGAACAGCAGCCAGTGCAATCCGTGGCTCTGAAGGACCTGCTCCGAAGTGGGTTTGGGGAATAATCACCTGACTACCCTCGGGTAGTCCAACATTGCAACGGAGGATTCTGTATTTGTGATGTTTCTTAAATTGCATTGGGATGCATTGGGTATTTTGTTCTCATAACTTCTCTGTTATCTTGAACTGAGAGGGTATGTTGCCTATCTAGTATTTGTATGTACAGCGGCGCAAACCTTCACACACTGTGAAATATACATGTGAGTGTTGTTGGGCAGTCTCCCGGGCGGAAAGCTGGTTGAACTTAGTTAGTTTCCTCATATTGTGAAAATTCTTCATAACAGGTGTGTTTTTTATCCATTGGAAGACTGCGAAAAGAAGCCTAAGTCTCCCGCCATGGGACTGCGAAAATCCATCCGCTATCCAGTTCTCCACATTACATGACATGTTTGCTCGTTTTTGTATATTTTTATTCAAAATCACAGCGACGTCACCGGAATGATTGGTTAGTAAATGGCGTGCATATTTTGTTGAAACTCGTACGTTGTTTGTTTGTAGATGGCTTTCCTCCACACTTCTGCGTCAAAACAGGACGTCTTCTGCCGGGGTGAGGCGGCACTGCAGCAGTCCCTGTTCGAGGCCTGATGAACCTCTTGAAGAGGAATTTCCTATAGGGTGGTTGTTTACACTGTAAATTGGTCTTGTTCACGGGAAAAGACATAAAAACTTGGTAGACATTATATATAGAATTTTGCACTTAAACCAGAGTTATATATTGATTGATGATTAACTGGTAATTTACTAGAAACACTTGAGTTGAAATGAACCACAATTCATAGGGTGTTTGACCATCAATCAACATCTATGATCATACCTGACTCATGAATACGTAGCTTAAATATTGTTTTCCTGACTGATAGATCGCTGTATCAACAGAGTTGTACCAACTGTGAACAGTTGATGTTGAATGATTTCCATAGTTGCTACAACAACGTTTTGATGTTCTCTTGTGGAAGATCAAGTATTAGCCTCGGCATCCTCCTCCTCGTCAGAATCATCAAAATCATCAAAATCAAGCATCATTAATCAACTGTAATGGTATTATTAGTACTGATAATAAGACTATCAAGGATTAATGAGATTGATATAGAATGGTAATATACTCTCTAGTGATGAAAGTTATAATAAAAGGAGAACTCACCATTGATACATGAATGATATAGTTACCCACTATAGTATACAATAGTGATAAAGTTCCTATGGTGAAACAATCAGAATATCATTGGCTGCTGCACTGTCAGGTGCAACTCCTGATGGCCGTTGAGCTCCTTTTCTGAGAAAATGATGCGGTCGGCGACCAGGTTGTTGGGTGAACCATAATTTTACCCATTAAAATTGGGGGGTTTCCATAAATGGGTGATCCCCAAAATGGTTTATAATGGAAAATTCTATTCAGATGGATGAACTGTTCATTGTGGCAAACGTTGTTTTTGACGGATATAGTATACCGAGACAAAAAAAATAATGGCATAGTGCCTGATTCATGAGACGAGGCACTGACCATTGGTCCCGCATAGGTTTGGTTCAGACTGAAAACCACCTTCAAACCTCAAGATTGAAAGATCTTGGCACTTCTTCTAAGATATTTCATGATCAATGTATATCAATTTTAGTTTAATACGTTTTAATTCCTAATAAATCTTAATAAGTATACAGTCTAAACTTTATATAAATATATAGATATACCTTTGGTGTATTTCACATGTTTTCTATTTGTCGATTCTTCAGACGGCTGCCCAGGCGTCGCATGAACAGGTCCAAGGAGCCGCACCCACCGCCACGACTGCCGAGATGCTTGACCTACCAGGCGGAGATTGGTGCCCCCGGGAAGCTGTACTTCATCCGGTTCACCATGGTTCACCTGTGGTTTTCCATAGAACATGCTTGAAAATGATGATTTGTCCATGGAAAATCGTGTTGTTTGTTGCCATGAAACACATGGATCTTTTGGATGATTTGATGGAACTCAACCACAAACTTTGTTCGACAAACAATTGGGAAAATGATGTCATTCCATCACGGACTTTTCGATTAGGATAAACAGGGTAACATATCACAGTTCATTTCCGACTTTTAAGGAACCATTAGGATTTTTTCCTTGGCTCATTCAATGATGGTTCTCTAAATTCATTGAACAATTCCATACAATTCCCAAGTAAATTATAGTTTTCGCCTACCTAATTAATGACAGAAGGTTCATGGCCTCCAACCCATCCAGGACTCCCCACCGAAAGCACGCCGAGACCAGGTGGATCCCTCCGATGAAGGTTGGAGCGTCCGCATGGCCCTGACGAGACTGAAGGGGGAGCAGTTGGATGGCTGGTGTCTTGTCACACCGGTGGGTACATGACTTTATGTAATGGCCATTTTACGAACCTATCCTGGGGGTACCTGATGCCCACTGTTTTACCGCTAGGGATAAACATGTGAAAAAATGCGTAAAGCATGCTCTGATGTCAGGAAAGTAGCTCTTCCCAAGAAAAGTGGGCGTGTTATCCAAATGTATCCTAATAAGTCATAATAAGTCAATAAAAACAAGTTTTGTTTTACCCATGTTCATCCATTTTCTACGGATATCTCTGGGCACCTTAGGTCCCCGCTTTCAGCTCCTTAAGGTTGCAACGGAGCTGTGAGATCTCGGATGATTCCATGCTTCAACGGTGCCGGGCTCAGACAGCGCCCTGCGAACGGTCTGGGAGTTCGTTGAAATCACGGATAGGTCACTGTCAATGATGATTGGTATAGGGAACCGTTCCAAAATGACCAAAAAAAGTCATCTTGGTGAATTACCCAGATTACCAGAGATGGATATTTAGTGGTTTCAGTTTCAGTGTCAGTAATGATATCGTTGATATCTTACATCCTTGCCGTCGTTATCGTTATCGTTATCGTTATCGTTATCGTCATCATCGTCATCATCATCATCATCATCATCATCATCCTCGTCATCATCATCATCATCATCATCATCATCACTATTTTCATTTGGCCAGCCCGTAGCTGGCTTAAAGCGTGGGCTGAAAGGGGGGGGGCGGTGCACGGCAAGGGGGTGCGAAATAAAAATGTTGGGAAAATGTTGGTTCAGAATCATAAAATTGGTGTTTGGGCCTGGTGTGTGCTAATCCTTTTTGTGGTGTTAAAAACGGCTAAGTTTGGTGTCAAAATTGTGGTTTTAGGGGTGGAGGATGTCAAAAACAAACCAACCAGTCCAACATATGGGAAGTCAATGCTCAGGAGGAACCAAATTGCAGCCACCATTATCTACTGCAATGTTCTATTGCTACAACTACAATATTTTAACAGTTTACAACAAGGAACACCCCCCTGTGGGAACACAGCCGCAACCCTTTCGCTCTGGCCCAACATGACCAAATTCTACCCGGATCCAGAAGATGCTGTGAAACCGTGAAACTATGCAAGTGAAACTGCCGGGCTTTCGGAAGCTTGAAATTGGAAACAAAACCTGTGACCCAACTGGCCCAATAGCCCTGCCATTCTACCATTTCTGTTGACTCAATGGCACAGAACTATCATCAGAATCCGCACTCTCAGAAGCGGAATCTTCAACAGATGAGAGCGCGGGTAATTTCCCGTTTGGTTTGGGATTTTAGGGCGCGCCCTTTTTCTCTGTTTTTGGGATCCTTTTTGGGCGCAAAAAAGGCGCGCTTTTTAACCTGACCCCAAAAAAGGGGTTTTCCAACACCAAATTTCTTGTTCCGGGCACCGGCTAGCGATGCACAAAAAACAGCCCAGACCCACCCTCGCACCAGGTTTGCACCAGTCGGGAAAAATCGTGCACCAATACCCCCCCCCCCGAGCACCAAAACTGGCCAAACGTTTTAAGCCAGCCACGGGCTTGGCAAATCATCATCATCATCATCATCATCATGATCATCATCATCATCATCATGATCATCATCATCATCATCATCATCATCATCATCATGGCAATGAGCGGTGTCATTATTGTCACGGTACTGTTTTAGTTTGTTTACATGTAGCCGATCTAGTTGCGATTGATAGACCCTTTCTGATCAACACCATTCAAATTTCAGCCGAGGCCATGGAAAGATCAGCTGAAAGGTGGTTGCGTCCTGGCAAGGTGAGGGGGATAGTGTGAAGTGGTGGAGGCAGCACAGGAGAGTGTAACCATCAGATCATCAGACATCTCTTGCCAGCTGGTGGATATCCTGGTAGAAAGTTCATCGGATGTACAGCGACATGCCATCCAGAACAGCTGATGGGCCAGGTGCTGGGACTGTTTGGCTCGAAAAAGTTGGGGTTTAAAGCAGGTTGAAACCAATAGACATAAGACACCAATCATTCATGGCATTCTGCACAGTGAAGTCCAGACTTGATGACCAAAAAGTATACGTTATTATGCATGTGTGACAGTCAACTACGTTGCTGCAAGCAGAACATTGACAGTGGAGAAGAGGCTGGGCACCATGCCATGTTTGCGCAACCTGAGCAAAGAGCTGCTGCTGAATGTGCTGGAGTTTTCATTGGATACCTCTGTGCTTGAGCTTGCTGCAACTTCTCGAGGTGTGAGGAGTGCAGTGGACGAATGTAGATCAACAGGAAAAGGATTCCCATGGCGACAACCACCAGGTAGCCTTGAAGTCTCTGGACTCTGGAGAGTTTTTGGCTTGGGAGACCTCAAGAGGATTCCAGTTCCACCTGTGAACCTAAGGTGTGATGTAGAGTTCCAGGACTTTGCAGAAGTGGTGGCCTTTCTCAAAGCTGCCAACGACTTCGCGGCTGACACCATGGATGGCCACGTGACCTTCGACAAACTTTCATTCGATGCTGGTGACGTGGCTCACCTCTTCTTCGGGGCAGATGACCGGAACGACAGGTGGTGTGCAACGGGAGAGACAGAAGTGCTCTTCAACGGCCGTCGTGTGGAATGCACACTTGATGCCCAGCGAACAGATGACGACGAAAACCCTTGGATGTACGTCCACGTGGACTGCGAGAATGTGCTGCCAAATCCCATCATTTGTTGCAGCAGCCTCCTGTCACCAGAGCTCAGAATGCGTGCCAATATACGGTGTGGTGATATTCACGATCTTGACGAGGAGTCTCCTTTCACCGACTTCGTGCTCACAAACATGCCACTGCCACTGTTTTTTGGTGTCAAAGAGCTTGATGTTCCGGAGCGTTGGATGTTTGACTAGGCTCACAGAAGCCTATATCGAAGGGGCGGTGGTACGCACAAGCATGCCGCTGCCAATGTTTTTCGGTGTTAAAGGGCTTGGCTAGGCTGACAAGAGCTTAGACTTTGGGGGAAGCGGGGAATAAAAAGATTTGTGCCCAGGGGTTGCGCTTGTGGAAGTGCGGGGGTTCATGGGAGTTCTGGTCACATTGGTTCTGCCTGAAGTCCACGACTCCCATGAGCCTTCATGATATTGCTTGCATCAGAGGGTATCTTGCTGGAGCTGCAGGATTTTGCTGGACCCAGATGCAGTCAAAATGTCAAAGGTCTTGCAAGTGTGATTGGCCAACTGCTGGAACTGTTGGGTTCATGAATTGGCTGGGGCTGAAACCAAACGATATCAGGAACCACTTAAAGCAATGGATTGCACGCTAAAAAGTCCAGGACGGTTTCTTAGACTTGACAAATGAACATTACAAGACTACATGTTGATACATCTTGTTGTTTGTCACCTTGGCCTTCCCAGTTTTGATACGTTTTTCAGTGCATAGAGGTCATGGCATGATCATCGAAAAAAGTTTAGAAGTCAAACTTCCGACAATATGGACAGATGAAAAGCAGAGCAGGGAAGAGGCAGAGAGAAGAGAAAGATTAGAAGAAAGAAGATGCAGATACGTGTAAAGGTAGGAAAGTCGCGAAACACTGTGTTTTTCCAATGATTTGGGGCTCCGGAGGGTCGGCGGTCGGAGCCAGCTGGCCAGATGAGAGATGAAAAATTGCACGCTGTTGTGGCGCGAAGCACATTTCCAAGTCAAAATGCACAAAACACACCACGTTCGGACCACTTTTGGAACTTGAGATGTTGAAAAAGTGCACGCCATTGTGGCGCGAAGCACATTTCGAAGTCAAAATGTGTAAAACACACAATTCTCGGACCACTTTTGGAAGTTCAGATGTCGAAAAAGTGCACGCCGTTGTGGCGCGAAGCATATTTCCAAGTCAAAAGTGCAAAAAACTGACGGGTACGGAGCACTTTTGGACGTTCAGATGTGCTTTCGCGTGGCAGGCGCAAGGGATTGTGCATCTTGGCAAAAGTGAGCAAAACGTGAGGGTTTTGTGGCATTTCCAAAAACGCTGGCAAGCGTGGGACATTTGAAGAGGATCTTCAAAGATGCATTTCGCGTGGCAGGCGCAGTACAAAAGACATGTTCATCTCAGATGTTAGGAGGTCAGGAAGCTGATTTCCTGAGAGGGGTTGCATTTTGGAGCATCAGATCTTCAGGTTTGCTGAGATGATTTTGCGTGACAGGTGCGGCACGTCGTATGACCTGGCATCAATTTTTCGTGGCAGGCGCAGTACTTTACACAGGTGGAGTGAAAAAATCGCAAAACGCATTGGTACGAGTCTGTCAGCTCTGCACTCAACTTTCCATTTTTGAAGGAAATCTCGCAGAATTCTTGTTTTTGATGGCTTGCACTTCGAAAAATGAGGAAGTCTCGCAGAATTGCTTCGTTTCGGATGTCGTCAAGCTCAAAAAATGAAGAAGTCCCGCAGAATGGTTCCGTTTTGGACGTTCTTATGTTCAAACATTACGGAAGTCTCGCAGAATTTCTTCGTTTTTGATCTTGCAGATAGACAGATCGATAGATAGATAGATGGATAGATAGATAGATAGAGAGAGAGAGATAGATAGATAGATAGATAGAGAGAGAGAGATAGATAAGATAGATTAGATAGATGGATGGATGGATGGATGGATGGATGGATGGATGGATGGATAGATAGATAGATAGATAGAGATATAGAGAGAGATATAGAGAGATAGAGAGATAGAGAGATAGAGAGATAGTTAGATAGTCAGATAGTTAGATAGTTAGATAGATAGATAGGTAGATAGATAGATAGGTAGATAGATAGATAGACAGACAGACAGATAGGTAGACGGATAGATCAGTAGGTAGGTAGGTAGATAATCAGAGACAGATAGAGAAACAGAAAGAAAAAGAGAGAAAGAGAGGTCAAGCACCTTTCAGTCCTTCAGTGGCTTCGCTCTGCATCCCTGATTCACAACAACCAATCTCTCCTATAAGTTTCCTATTTTTGAAACTTCCGCCACCGCCTTGCGCGGTACTACTGGTATAATTATAGATGTCCCGGCCCACACCTGAGGCTTCAGTTTGGTCACAGCAACTGCAACCGTGCACAAATCCTTCTTGTGGACTTGTTTGCAGGCATTTGCTTGTACAACTCGGCCCCACATTGCAGAATTTGGTGCGAATTGGCAGTTGGGAATGGAAGTGTTGCTGGTCTTGGGGTAAGGACATGTTTTTGGGGTGAGGAAAGAGGAATGGCTAAGATGTGACATTTGGGGTTTCCTTCCGGCCACTGACAATCTCAGATTGATTACCGTAGCATTGCTTGACGGCAGTGCAACGCGGTGATACAGCATCAATATGAACAAATATGGACATTATACTGACTTCAGGCCAGTTCCTGCGAAAGCATGATTTTGCCGAGATTGCAATCATTTTTTGTTGATTATTTATGACTGCCTTTTCCAAGTCTTGAACAAAATGTTGATTGTTTTTTTCCGCATCCATTTGTCAGTTCAAACTTCTACAGGCAAGGACACTTTATGATTCCTCAATCTGGCAACGTTGCGGGAACATTTGCCAGAGCAGTCGTTAAGTTGTTCAATATTTGAAGTGACAAAAAAAAATATACCGGTTACCAGAACGACTGGCAGGAGAGGTAACGTTCTGGTGGTTCATTGGCCCATGGACACTCACAGTATCTCACGGTAACATCCTCGAGATATCCACAAAAGAAAAGTGTTGATTTTCCATGCAAACTAAGGGGCGGTTGCTCTGAACTCTCCATAAGACCAGTTCTGGGATAGTGTTTTGTTGGTGCGATGTTGGATATGTCAAAGCAACATGTTGTTCAGTCGACAGCAGAGCCACTGACGGCCATGGCTTCTGACAAGACTTACTTCGAAAATGGAACTTGGGCGCCGCCATTCGAGGAGGTGGATACCAAGGTGCTGTGTTGATGTCAATTTGTCATGGGAATCACCCCACTTGGGCCAGCCAAAATGGATAGGATTTGGTTTGCTGTATTATGCTGTTTGCCTTGGAAGGAGGATTGGAGCCCGTGGGTACTTGAGGAATCTGCGGCCTTTAGAACTCTCTTGCTGGCTATTGAGTCCGATAACTCGTGATACTCACAAGGTCTCACAATAAGTATGATTAAATTTTACTTTTTTGAAAATGTATGGAGCAGGAAACGACGGGAGGAGACCGTCGCTGTGTAGTTTCCACATTAGCACCATCGGTTTTCTCTGGAGATCAAATATTTGTTGCAGAAACTCCAGTAGTAACAGGTTTTGATCTGCATGATCCAAAGACAGTTGCTGCAGGCAGCTGGCATGCCTGCTGATGTGGCCACATCCTCTGGTTGCGTCCGAGTGTTTGTTGCTGGTGCGGTGACGCATGTCGGAATCTTGGCAGTGATTTAGTGGCACTGCTTGCATCCGGGAGTCCGGGAGTTAAAATCAGCAAGTGATGCAATATCATGCAATATTGCGTTGCCACAGTGCAGTCTCTGCGCGAGTGTTTGTTGATCTCATTGGGTAGTTGTTATATTATGATGGCAGTTTGCTGAAAGGTCTGCTGTAGCCAAATTGTGCGCAAGGCATACCAAAGGTTTGTGTTAAAGGGATATTGTCCTGCTCCCAAATGTGTTTGCATGACATGCCCCGCTACAGAACTTGCTTGGCGTCCTGCTCAAGCATGCTCAAGCCATCCAAGGTAAAACCTCCGTCTGTTTGGGCCTACTGGCAGCATTGCGAAATGCTGGATTGAAGGCTGCCATGCTGGGAAGGGACAGGGGTGGAACAACTGCTGTTGGATTGCTAGGGCTAGGGGGTTGAACAACTACTCGTGGTTTCCTTCTGTTTCCCCAACAAACATCCACTTTCCGTCAAGCAGCCTGTTTTTTAAGCACCACGTCAGGTCCCAAAGAGGTGACATTCAAAGTCCGCAAATAGGAAATCAAGATAAATCAAGTGAAAATTCATGAAGTCAATCAAAATACTCTCAAGTACATGATGAACGACGGAATATGTTTATCGTTTGTTAATCTATTGACACAACCATAGTCTCCATCGCGATCTGCATGCAGGCCTCGGAGTTGGGCTACATCAAACCAGCCACGCAGCATCTCAGCGCAAGACATGGGGGATTTAGTGCCAAATTATAGCACTATATAATAATATAGCGGGAAAATAAGGTTCTAAAGTTTACTGGTAGGGCAGAGAAATCTGGTGTTTCCTGATTGGATATGGTGAAAAAGGTTGGTTTAAAGTTTAACCATCAAGAACAGTGATGCAAGCATCAACATGCGGATTTGAGCAATGAATGTTGGAGATGGGTGTGTCTGAACATGGGGGGATGTAGCCCTAATTTATGGCGATCGTCATGAAACAAATTATGATAGACCATCAACATGTGGGACCGTATTTTCAAATTAACCCATATCTATCTTGTGCTTTTCGAAGTTGGGGAACCCCCAAACCATTAATAATATATGTTCCCCTGACAAATGCTCAAGAAAGCAGGTGAATTCGAAAAATCCAAATCATGACGACTTGAGTGTCAATGGATTGACAAATGGAAAACTGTCAGCCGAAAACCTTGGTTTTATTGCTTTAAAAATTTTCCTTGGAAGACCACGTACCATGTAAATTCATATTCATATCACTAATAGTCCCTAGTAAAGGTTAAACACTTTGTTATACTGCACTATTTGTCTCTCAGGTTTGTACATGGTGATGATCTATCTTAAGTTTTGGGCATGGCCAGCTTGATTTATGGACATTCGATCAAGCCCACGGCATCGAGGTGCGAGGCCCCGGATTTGCTGAGCAAATGGTGTGCCGCTGAAGGAGGGCTGTAGATGTACAGACGATGTATAGACTTTGGGTTGTTGAAATGACATGAAATGGATGAGGTGCCATAGGGGAAAATAAACTTAAGTGTTGTATAGTATTATAATATTATTATAGTGTTGTAGATCCTGCATCACCTGATTTGGTAGACAGGAGGTCTTCGAGTGGTAACGCAACTGGAGGGGAACAAGTGTAATTTTTGTCTTGGAATCATCTATTCCACAGCTACAGAATTATTAGAAATGGTTTGCACATGTCCTATTTGGAACCATATGAAATTGTGCTATCCATGAGAACTCCATTGCTTTTAGGGAACAAGTTGCGTCTTCCATGGGTCTTCCATGGGGTCACAGCAGGTATCGGGGCCCCAGTTGCGACCCGCCAGGAGTGGAATACGTCGCTGGAGAGAACGCACCGCTGGTCTTCTTCTCGGGCTTCACTCGGTCCTTCCTGGCCGGTGAGCAGGGCACCAGTGCCCAGTGGCTTCAAAAGTTCCATGGCGACAAGGATGGGCTATCCATGGCTACCCTATGGCCGGGCATGACATCTCACAACGTATTGCTTCTGCCTAGTCTGAAACAGCCCATATCCATGGAAATGGGTGAGTAAAGAATCCCAAGAATGGGTGGTTTGTTGGGTGTTGTTAGTATTGATGCTTAGTTGGTTTGGACATTCCAAGGTGTGGCAGCTAGTTACATCAGTGCAATGTTCAATTTGGGGCCCATCAATTGCTCGAGTTGGGTCTCAAAGTATCAATCGCACTGGAGTGATATGAGCCCTGCAAGTGTCTTTGTATTGCTCATTCATCACGTAGCCTCAGTATATCAGTATGATGTTCATGTTTCTTTCAATTGTGGCTGGGAAATCATGGAGGCCACCTTGAATTCAGATTGGGAACTCATCGTGAACTATCTTGACGAACTAAAATGGTAAGTGATGAACACAACAAAATCAAGACTGAGGATCCAAGACAAGATCGCATCGATGTCTGAAGGACGACGAGTGGCCACTTGGTGTTGCACTTGGAGATCCATTGGCCTGCGATTGTTATGCTTATGTTCACTGGTGTTCCACTTGTCTCATCCGCTTGAACTGGTCAATGGCAGTACATACGTCCCCAATTCTGTTGATTTAAGCCCTCTCCCAAACTTGGTTAGTTTGCAACCGGCATTGTTGTTTTTGCGAGAAGCCCGGTCAATCCAGCAATCTGGTTGGTTTCTGGTTGGTTTAAACCCATTTTCTTTTTAAGAAACCAGTCAATCCCTGAACATCCAGCCAATCTGAGTAAACCTAGTTAAACCCATGTTCTTTGTAAACCCTGTTAATTTGGATTTAAAGAAACAACAATGGATCATGTTGGTATAGGTATAATGTGGCAAACCCAAGGCCGTAAAGCTACCATTTGGGGATGGTCTGCTTATACCATCCATCTATGGCCATTTTGGGGATGGATTTTGATGTACTATACCATTTTTGCGGGATGTTTCATTACCGTATTTGGTTTATTAATTATTATTTATTGTTTATTGTTATGGCCATTTTGGTTTACCACATTAGGTCAGAAAAAATGCCAAGTTTCACCTCCCTGTTGGGCACCTCCACCGCTTTCCACCGGATTGGTGCCGAGCTCATCATCGACGGCGTGGGTTTTCCCTCGGTGGGGTCCATCGTCGGGGTGGACAACGCGGACGTGGCCAAAGCGGCGAAAGCTCCGGTGCTGTTGGTGTGCACCTGGTCGTTGTTTTAGAGAAGGGAACATGGGTGGAGTTCCATGGTGTATATGGTTGGTTCGGATTTCTGTGGTTCGGATATTTTGAGTTCTTAGAATTTAGACCCAGGTCCATCCAGGCCCCAATTTTTGTGGAAGCAAACAATATGCGGAAACGCAGGAGTTTGGAAAGGGTTTGTGTATCCATGTTGCTCGTATGCGTACCCTTTACCAACTCCCACACAAAAGGGCCCTGGCAACGGCTCAATCTAAAGGTGAAGGAGCGGGAAAACCAAGTTTATATTTAAGGGCTGCCGCCCCTGCCGCCGACCCCGGTAAAGAATCGGGGATTGTTGGTGAAACAGGCAAGCTGTGTGACGAGAAATTTTGGCAAATGCATCATCACATGCAGGATCATTTTTCCCAACCTTTTCCGCTTGTTCAACATTCAATAGAAGCCCATCAGCCCACCTGCTGCTGCTGCTGCTGCTGTTGTTGTTGCTAACAGAAGAGTAGCAAGAGCACCTCCTGACACCAAAACAGCAAGGCACGGAAGGACGAACAGGCCCTAGAATCGCACCGAAAAAGTGCCTAACGTCCCTTGTGAATGACTTGGAAAAATGTTTTTTCCCAACCTTTTCCGCTTTTTCAATCTCCCATCAGCTAGCTCACCTGCTGCTGCTGCTGCTGCTGTTGCTGCTGCTAACAGAAGAGTCGCAAGCGCACCTCCCGGCACCAAAACAGCAAGGCACGGAAGGACGAACAGGCCCTAGAATCGCACCGAAAAAGTGCCTAACGTCCCTTCTGAATGCCTAGAAAAAATGTTTTTTTTCCAACCTTTTCCATTTTTTCAATCTCATCAGTGCTGCTGCTGTTGCTGCTGCTAACAGAAGAGTAGCAAGAGCACCTCCCGGCACCAAAACAGCAAGGCACGGAAGGACGAACAGGCCCTAGAATCGCACCGAAAAACTGCCTAACGTCCCTTCTAACTTCCTAGAAAAAATGTCTCTGTTTCTTTTTCCCAACCTTTTCCGCTTTTTCAATCTCCACCTGCTGCTGCTGCTGCTGCTGCTGTTGCCGCTAGCAAAAGCACCAAAAACTGCCTAACGTCCCTTCTGAATTCCTAGAAAAAATGTCTTTTTTCCAACCTTTTCCGCTTTTTCAATCTCCCATCAGCTAGCTCACCTGCTGCTGCTGCTGCTGTGCTGCTGCTAACAGAAGAGTCGCAAGAGCTCCCGGCACCAAAACAGCAAGGCACGGAAGGACGAACAGGCCCTAGAATCGCACCGAAAAACTGCCTAACGTCCCTTCTGAATTCCTAGAAAAAATGTCTTTTTTCCAACCTTTTCCGCTTTTTGAATCTCCCATCAGCTAGCTCACCTGCTGCTGCTGCTGCCAACCTTTTCCGCTTGTTCAACATTCAATAGAAGCCCATCAGCCCACCTGCTGCTGCTGCTGTTGTTACTGCTAACAGAAGAGTCGCAAGAGCACCTCCCGGCACCAAAACTGCAAGGCACGGAAGGACGAACAGGCCCTAGAATCGCACCGAAAAACTGCCTAACGTCCCTTCTGAATTCCTAGAAAAAATGTCTTTTTTCCAACCTTTTCCGCTTTTTGAATCTCCCATCAGCTAGCTCACCTGCTGCTGCTGCTGCTGCTGCTGCTGCTAACAGAAGAGCCGCAAGAGCAGCTCCCGGCACCAAAACAGCAAGGCACGGAAGGACGAACAGGCCCTAGAATCGCACCGAAAAACTGCCTAACGTCCCTTCTGAATTCCTAGAAAAAATGTTTTTTTCCAACCTTTTCCGCTTTTTGAATCTCCCATCAGCTAGCTCACCTGCTGCTGCTGCTGCTGTTGCTGCTGCTAACAGAAGAGTCGCAAGAGCAGCTCCCGGCACCAAAACAGCAAGGCACGGAAGGACGAACAGGCCCTAGAATCGCACCGAAAAACTGCCTAACGTCCCTTCTGAATTCCTAGAAAAAATGTCTTTTTTCCAACCTTTTCCGCTTTTTGAATCTCCCATCAGCTAGCTCACCTGCTGCTGCTGCTGCTGTTGCTGCTGCTAACAGAAGAGTCGCAAGAGCACCTCCCGGCACCAAAACAGCAAGGCACGGAAGGACGAACAGGCCCTAGAATCGCACGGAAAAACTGCCTAACGTCCCTTCTGAATTCCTAGAAAAAATGCTGCTGCTGCTGCTGTTGTTGCTGCTAACAGAAGAGTCGCAAGAGCACCTCCCGGCACTAAAACAACAAGGCACGGAAGGACGAACAAGCCACAGAATCGCACCGAAAAACTGCCTAACGTCCCTTCTGACTTCCTAGATAAAATGTCTTTTTCCCAACCTTTTCCGCTTTTTCAATCTCCACCTGCTGCTGCTGCTGCTGTTGCTGCTAGCAAGAATTGTTGTTCACAACCTCTCTGCCCTGACGCGCTCCCCCTTGCGTCTGCCGGGGTCGGCGGATATTGACTGCTGGCTACTGGCTGGGTGCTGCTGTCTTATTCCCTAACGCGCTCCCCCTTGCGCAGCCGGGGTCGGCGGAAAATTAGATTTGCTCCTGTTGCTGCTGCTGCTCTTCCTCCCGAGGCTGAAAACGCATCCTCCCGGACAGGGAAACACAGTGGCCCTGAAGGACGGAACAGCGCCAAAATCGAGCCCAAAAAGTCCCTAACGTCCCTTCTGAAACCTTAGAAAAACAATAGTTTTGGACAAGGTTGTATGGTTTTCGACCAATTTTTTTTTATTTTTTTTAAATACCACTGTTTGTACAATGAGACATACAAACGTCCCGTTGCTCCTGTTGCTGCTGCTGCTCTTCCTCCCGAGGCTGAAAACGCACCCTCCCGGACAGGGAAACACAGTGGCCCTGAAGGACGGAACAGCGCCAAAATCGAGCCCAAGAACTCCCTAACGTCCCTTCTGAAACCCTAGAAAAACAATAGTTTTGGACAAGGTTTTATGGTTTTCGACCAATTTTTATACCACTGTTTGTACAATGAGACATACAAACCCTCCTGTTGCTCCTGTTGCTGCTGCTGCTCTTCCTCCCGAGGCTGAAAATGCACCCTCCCGGACAGGGAAAGAGGCTGAAAACGCACCTTCCCGGACAGGGAAACACAGTGGCCCTGAAGGACGGAACAGCGCCAAAATCGAGCCCAAAAAGTCCCTAACGTCCCTTCTGAAACCCTAGAAAAACAATAGTTTTGGACAAGGTTTTATGGTTTTCGACCAATTTTTATTTTTATATCACTGTTTGTACAATGAGACATACAACCCTCCTGCTGCTCCTGTTGCTGCTGCTGCTCTTCCTCCCGAGGCTGAAAACGCATCCTCCCGGACAGGGAAACACAGTGGCCCTGAAGGACGGAACAGCGCCAAAATCGAGCCCAAAAAGTCCCTAACGTCCCTTCTGAAACCCTAGAAAAACAATATTTTGGATAAGGTTTTATGGTTTTCGACCAATTTTTATACCACTGTTTGTACAATGAGACATACAACCCTCCTGTTGCTCCTGTTGCTGCTGCTGCTCTTCCTCCCGAGGCTGAAAATGCATCCTCCCGGACAGGGAAACACAGTGGCCCTGAAGGACGGAACAGCGCCAAAATCGAGCCCAAAAAGTCCCTAACGTCCCTTCTGAAACCCTAGAAAAACAATAGTTTTGGACAAGGTTTTATGGTTTTCGACCAATTTTTATACCACTGTTTGTACAATGAGACATACAACCCTCCTGTTGCTCCTGTTGCTGCTGCTGCTCTTCCTCCCGAGGCTGAAAATGCACCCTCCCGGACAGGGAAAGAGGCTGAAAACGTAGCCTCCCGGACAGGGAAACACAGTGGCCCTGAAGGACGGAACAGCGCCAAAATCGAGCCCAAAAAGTCCCTAATTTGCTTTCTGAAACCCTAGAAAAACAATAGTTTTGGACAAGGTTTTATGGTTTTCGACCAATTTTTATACCACTGTTTGTACAATGAGACATACAACCCTCCTGTTGCTCCTGTTGCTGCTGCTGCTCTTCCTCCCGAGGCTGAAAATGCACCCTCCCGGACAGGGAAACACAGTGGCCCTGAAGGACGGAACAGCGCCAAAATCGAGCCCAAAAAGTCCTTAACGTCCCTTCTGAAACCCTAGAAAAACAATAGTTTTGGACAAGGTTTTATGGTTTTCGACCAATTTTTATACCACCGTTTGTACAATGAGACATACAACCCTCCTGTTGCTCCTGTTGCTGCTGCTGCTCTTCCTCCCGAGGCTGAAAATGCACCCTCCCGGACAGGGAAAGAGGCTGAAAACGCACCCTCCCGGACAGGGAAACACAGTGGCCCTGAAGGACGGAACAGCGCCAAAATCGAGCCCAAAAAGTCCCTAACGTCCCTTCTGAAACCCTAGAAAAACAATAGTTTTGGACAAGGTTTTATGGTTTTCGACCAATTTTTATACCACTGTTTGTACAATGAGACATACAACCCTCCTGTTGCTGCTGCTGCTGCTCTTCCTCCCGAGGCTGAAAATGCACCCTCCCGGACAGGGAAACACAGTGGCCCTGAAGGACGGAACAGCGCCAAAATCGAGCCCAAAAAGTCCCTAACGTCCCTTCTGAAACCCTAGAAAAACAATAGTAGTTTTGGACAAGGTTTTATGGTTTTCGACAAATTTTTATACCACTGTTTGTACAATGAGACATACAACCCTCCTGTTTTGGACAAGGTTGTATGGTTTTCGACCAATTTTTTTTTATTTTTTTTAAATACCACTGTTTGTACAATGAGACATACAACCCTCCCGTTGCTCCTGTTGCTGCTGCTGCTCTTCCTCCCGAGGCTGAAAACGCACCCTCCCGGACAGGGAAACACAGTGGCCCTGAAGGACGGAACAGCGCCAAAATCGAGCCCAAAAAGTCCCTAACGTCCCTTCTGAAACCCTAGAAAAACAATAGTTTTGGACAAGGTTTTATGGTTTTCGACCAATTTTTATACCACTGTTTGTACAATGAGACATACAACCCTCCTGTTGCTCCTGTTGCTGCTGCTGCTCTTCCTCCCGAGGCTGAAAACGCACCCTCCCGGACAGGGAAACACAGTGGCCCTGAAGGACGGAACAGCGCCAAAATCGAGCCCAAAAAGTCCCTAACGTCCCTTCTGAAACCCTAGAAAAACAATAGTTTTGAACAAGGTTTTATGGTTTTCGACCAATTTTTATACCACTGTTTGTACAATGAGACATACAACCCTCCTGTTGCTGCTCCTGCTCCTGTGACTCCTTCTGTTCAAAAGGCACCTGCCGGATGGGAAAACACCATGGCAGTAGTAGTAGTAGTAGTAGTAGTAGTCGTCCGAAACAAGAGTCAAAAGTATTATTCCCTGGCACGCTCCCCCTTGCGTCTGCCGGGGTCGGCGGATATTGACTGCTGGCTACTGGCTGGGTGCTGCTGTCTTATTCCCTAACGCGCTCCCCCTTGCGCAGCCGGGGTCGGCGGATAGTATAGAAGTGTAGTGGGATGAATGGTGCATGACTGTTGCTTCCCGTACTTTGATTCGTTTTGATTTAAGACCTCATCTTGAACTGCTTTGAGATGCTTTGATATTCATGCGGCAGTTCCTCACCCCTGAGTCAAATTGAAAACACAAAGTAGGGAGGAAATCACTTTTTAAACGTATCCATGTGAAGCGCTGTCCGTCAGGATTGGGTCCCTCTGAAGCAAGCAGTCCGTCAAGCAATTCAGACTGTGACCAGATGGGTGCGCCTTTTCAACTGACAGATGGTCACAAAGACGTTTCATTTTGTCTCCAGCTCCCGCGTGGGAGGTTCTGCAACCGCGAACTGCAGAGGCTGAGGCTTTGCAACATCTGAAAGGTTGTCAACATTTTCACTCTCGCTTTCGCAGCTTGGTGCGGAGGTTAGCATTACCACCCTTTTTGCGGCTGACCACGTAGCCCTTGGAGTTGAGGCAGTTTATCAGACCCAGCCCAGTCATAGTGATAAGTGATAACATGTGATAACTGATGATTGCAGTTTCAAGTGCAACTTGAAGGTCAAAGAAATGGAGGCATACTTGGCCCCGAGGATTCTGTGGAGTTGGTCCCTTAGCTTGTTTGACATCCATTTCCTGGTATTTCAAGGTATTTCCATATATTTCCTGTCTGTGCCAAGCTCACAGGGATGATAAGTGGTAGAGTCTTGTGTTGATTCAGGCTCTTTGGCTAGACCGGGGATGCAGACACAGATTGCTGGAGCAGTGGGCATAGTGGGGGGAAGTGGGCTAGCCGGAATAGCACATCCCCCATGAGAAATCATGTTACTTGTACCTTGTGTGTACAGCCAACACCAATTGTGGGATTGATGAAGCGTTTGTGTTTGCATTCCACGACTTTGTGCATTTCATACACATGGTCCTTCTATGTCCTCCTTTTTTTGGTAATGGCCCGCCTCTGGTGAAGAGTTATATATGGGTGAAATCCGCAGCTTTTCAGTCAATCCTGTAAGGTAGTCTTAGAGTGCTGCCCAAGGCACTGCTCGATGGTTGGGCAATTTTTGACGGGATATCTGAAGCGCTGTGGTCTGGAAGCTGAAGATGTACCGAAAGTAGCTGCAACTTTTCTCGGGGCGAAATACTGCGTGTGGGCCGCCTCTGTTGCGCTTGCGGTGCGATATAGGCCGCTCCGCAGAGTGTTCCTGTCAAGAAGTAAAGCACTCTTCCAGGGAAGTGCTTCGAGGCCGTTTGCAGAGAGAAAGAGGCTGTGGCTCGTTGATGCTCTCGACCGATTGGACCATGTGAAGAACAGTGGCAGGGCAGCTGGCAGCTCCCGGGATTTGACTACTCGTGCCTCCCTGCTGAAAAAGTTGCCCAGCAGGGTGCGGAAGGCGCTTCCGTGCAAAAGTGTTTCTTTGGGTTGCGGGGGGAAGGCTGAGAAGCAGTGCTAGCTTATAGATTGATAAAACCGTGCTGCTTCGACATGCTAATGCCATCCAAGCAGTACAGCACAACAATTTCTTTGACTGATTTCCTTCGCTTCACTATCTGTGCGAACATGTACTCTTGAAAACCCAACAGAATATGGCTTGGAAGCGAGTAATTAGTCACCGCATCAGCATCTTTACAGCAAATCTGTATGAAATGAAATGGCCACAAAAGGCTGCGTTCCTGCACAAAGACTGGACAACTGGAAGGAAGTTTTGAGAAATAGACTCGTGAAATCGTTTTCCAAAGCAGCTGAGAAGTAATTTGGTCGCACGCATGCGTATACGAAGAAGCAGCTACATCAGAGATAAGATAAGTGCACCAATTATTTGGAACAGTGAGGATAGATCTGGTGCAGTCCATTTTTGGTAGCCCGGTAGGAGGGTTGGAACATACCTGGAGGTGCTCATTCTACAATACATGTTCCATCATGTTCCATCGAGATCTGGGACGACTCTGACGACGTCGTAATTCCAAGCCACCCTTGTTCCTGCAACCTTCTAATCGGATTTGTATCACCACAACAATTTTCTACACAAGTTTTACTAAGACTTGTGCTTGAAAAGCAGTTGGGACACCGCAAGCTCTATGACAGGCTGTAGCTGCAGGCGTTGCAAGCGCCCGAGCACAGTACCGTGCAGCGAACTACAGCTGGAAGCTAGCAGGCTGGCAACTGCTTCGCACGCAGGAGCGTCAAAAGCTTGGCGTGTCTTGGGTTGCTTCAGTTTTTTGATTTCTGTTGCCTTTTCAATGGACCTAAGCATTCTAACTTCTAACCACCTAATTATTTCATACAGACAGACAGTTTGAATTAAAGATAATAGACGGTTCCTTGTCTTGGATAATCTTGCGACTTTCCAAGTTTCCACATACAATTGCTGATTCAAGCTTGACTTAGCCGTGCACGTTTCAGTAGGAACAACTAGTATACTCGGATTGCTCGGAACAAATGATTTTAAACATTTTTAAACAACTTTTGCCTCCCGCAAAAGGTTCATATGAGTGCAAGGGATCTTTGTTGCCTAGATCCCGTGGTTGCCTTTGTGCCTTATCAAGCCCACGACCTGTGTACTCGCAGGGCTCTTTGCAGACTCCATGAGGGCGGAGCAGTCTGCTAAATGATACACCTGTAGCTAGAGACTGTGGCCTTTTTTATGCCCGTCCATTGGTTGTGAGGTTCCTGTCAAGCATGGGGTGATCACATGGTACCCTTGGACCTCGGCGAAATACTGGCAACTGTCCGACAAACTACAAGCCTCTGCCGACTCCAACCGAGTTTGGGGCGCATTCACTAGGAGCTTAGGCCTCGGCAAACTCAACTCCAGAGGCTTGGCTTTAGGACTGGCCGAGGGGACGATCCTCTTCAAATTCACCGTGCCCATTCACATGCCGCTGATGCTCTTCACCATTGTCAGTTTTTTTCGCCATCGGCACTGGATTATGGCTGAGACTTCCCCTCAGGATCAGAAGGCTGGAGGGTGATATAGGGGCCCAAATCATGCAGAATCTGTTGGGAGAAAACCCTGTAGTGGTCTGTTTGTGTCATCGTTGATGCCAGTGTCAACAATGCTTTTTTCGGCAGAGGATTTTTGCACCCTTGTGAGGTCGCTGCGACCCTTGCTGATGCAACAGAGGATGCACGGAGCAATGTATGGTCAACCCATACGGCCGCAATGGATGCGAATTCCCTTGTTGGCTGGGGCTGGACCTGGACCGTGGAGTAAGACGTTCTGTTGACACTGTAAGTGATTGACCTGCCGCCTCCAGCCTGTCCCTGTTGATTTAGGATAGCCGCATGCATCAAAAGCATTCAAAGGCTATAAAGGCTATAAAGGCTATAATTCGTTTATTTGTGAGGAATCTCATTCTGATCACATTCTGATCTCATTCTGGACAATGTGTCCCAATCCAGTGTCACCAGAGATCGCAGGGAGCCACCCTGGGCTGAGCTTTGGACAGGGCCACACTGCGTACTGTTCAGGGCAGAGCAGCAAGAGTACAGGCTCTACAGGCTCAGCGCAGAAGCTGTCACAGACTCGCTTACAGGGTGTGCCTGGTCGCAGATCTCCTGCCAAAAAAAAAGCGATGGAGGAAGCCCGGAATGCCACAGTTTCATACAGTTTCGAGTTTGCAATGGCTTTCCGAAACTGTATGGCTTTTGTGATGCTTTATGTGGGCTCACTTCAACTGGTGAAACACTGAGGCGATGGCCGCACTGGCTGCTGAGTCCGTGGGGGTTCCTTATCCCAGCAATACGTAGTGGTAGGGCAGTTTTCAACAGGGAGCTTGTGAAAAGGCAAAGCATGTCGAAGTAATGCACGTTGATCCCTGAGCTTCAAGGCATCTGATTCCGTGACTCAGGAGAGCATTGTGGTGCTTCTGGCTTGTCTTCAGTCCTGCACTAACAAGGTCTTGCAAGCAGGCATGCCCCGTACCCACACAGCAAATAGGTCGATCCAACCTGTGGCATGGGCACACTTCTGATAGCTCTTGCCTTAGATCCCTTAGAAGTTCCATAGAAGCTCCAACCTGATGTCGTCGTGACTGGACGATCAAGAAGATAATCGAAGATATTCGATGATGTTTGATGAAGCCAATGGCATTGGATCAGTGCTGCATATTCTGAGGCTGCTGCTCGCGTGTGGCCGCAAGTGAGTGGTGGCCCAAAGCGCGTGCATGGCCGGTCGGCAAGTGCAAACATCGATCAGTGCACATACATCACATACCAAGTACGTTTATCTACTTGCCCACCGTACTACGAGTGACAAACTAGACCTATATATATATTATAATTATATATTGATGACTATATACTTTTATAGATAAAAATGGGTAAAGATTCAATTATCTCGCCAAGGTATGCAATCATGGAAACTACAATGTGCAAATTACAGCTTGCAAAATGCTACATGCGTCTCAGAGCGAACCACAACTTCCAAGTTATATATTTGAATGCAAAAACATGAATCCCACCACGCAACTGCACAATGCATGCAGCCCTTCAGAATTGTCCAAAACTTGGAGGGTATCTCTGCCAAACTTCCAATGAAGCCAGGAGGCAGCAGAACATACCAAATTGCCTAAATGACCCTTAGCTGAGAGAGGCTGGCAGACTAGGAGACAGAGTGCCCAAAGGAACCTAGACAGCATAGATGCAAACTTGCATGAGATACTGATACATTGCTGCGTCGCCTATGTAGTTCCTGCTACTAAGCATCAGTGGTGCGCCGGTCTCATTTGCACAGCCGATTTTGTTACCACATTTTCTCATTTAGTAGCCCTCTGGAATATACATATACCAACACATAGGCCTACACCTACAGCTACACCCACCTAACCTTACCTAAGCTTGCCTAACCTTACCTTACCTAACCTTACGTAATCTTACTTTTGACCTGACCACTTTGCATAAGAGCTTACCTAATGCTGACCGAAGCTGACCACACTTACCCAACCTGAGTCAAACTTACCTAACCCTACCTCACTGTCTACCTCCTTGTCTCCATCCCTGCCTACCTACTTACCTACCTACCTACCTACCCACCGACCTACCTACCTACCTATCTACCTACCTACCTACCTACCGATCGACCGATTGAGTTGAATGCGGCCCCGTCTGGCAACAGTCCTCAGTGGGGCTTGGCCTAGACTCTGTCGTAATTGCTTGAGGCCAGAGGCGTCTCCGGCTTGTTGGTGTGAAACTGAATTCCCTCAGTCAAAAGACGTGTTCTTAGCTCCTCCGTTGCTCCTCTTGGCGGCTTCAGGGCGCGATATGAACCCTAGCCAACTACAGTTTGGATCCCAGACCAAACCCGTAGTACGGGATGGCTTTTTCATTTTGTACTAGCATTTGCAAATCCGTTGGCTTCCACAAGGAAGTGTTTGACCAGTTTGCCTTTCGTCATTGTTGCACGAGGAAATTATATGCAAACTTCTACTCCTGCCAGTTGGACACGTCAGGACCCCAAGCAAATCGCACGCCACCCAATAGACATCTGACGCCACCTGGTCACCAATCCGTAGTCTGAAGGTGTGACGTGCGGCTCGGAGATGCAAGGGTGTGGTGCTAAACAATACAAGACGGACGCAAATAGTTCCAAGATGTTCCAAGTGCCAGGCCCATGCTCTAGTGACATTCTAGTGCTGCAGCTGGCCCGACATGTGCACTAAATTGCCCTGAGGATGGTCAATCCTTTTCAGACGTGGAAGACGGGTCGGTGCCATCCTCAAAGATTTCCTTGTTTGCCTCCTGCGGGCAGCCCCAACTTGAACAGAGAATGTCATTCCCTTCACTCCTGTCATCTCTCTGCTTCATTGGGATTTTCGTGTCATGTGCTCTGTACTTGTTCAGCGAGCTGGTCTTTCTTGCTGTTTTTATCTGATTTCTGTATACGTATGCGTGGCCTGGCGGCCCTGCGCCATCACGGCGAGGTTGATGCTCTGCTTTGTGATTTGCCTAGCGGCGCTGCACACAAGGCCTGGAAAGCTGCACTTTTTTATTCATGTCTTGTTGCAGTGTTTCTGTGGCACAAGTTGGAAGATGTTGGAAGGCAAGTTCAGATTGGAAGCTTGAACCTCAAGAGTGCAGATGTTGATGCAGCGACAGCTGCCACTACCAGAGCTTGTCATCTCTTTCAAAGGTCTTACACATCTTTTATGCAGTTGGCGGAGCGCATCATCAGGCTCAACCCGGCCCCCAAAAAGCAAGATGCCCCGAGAGACAATGCAGCGGTCCTTGGTGAGGCCTGACGCAACGTTAGGCAACTTCCCGTGCAGGCCGCATGGTAGGTGTGTCCTCCTGTCCGAGCGCAAGACCATGCTGCTTAGGAGCGGGAGAGCAAAGCGACGCAAACAGAGCAACTCAAGGGACCCGTCAAGAGGCATGTTACGAGCAGTGGAAGCAAACCCCTTTTGCTTGATGGCCAGCGGCTATTATACCACCAAACATAAAGTAATGAATATATATATATATATTTGTATAATTATATATATATATTTATTATTATTATTATTATCATTATTATACATTATTATTATCATTATTTTATCATTATTATTATTATATATATATCATTATTATCATTATTATATGCATGTAATGTATGCATTGATGGGGATTGGCACCATCCATTCCCGTATGTCAGGACATGTTAGGACCCCTTCAGCTGTGTTGGAGGACTATTTCCAAGGACGCGTGGAAGACGGTAGCCTCTTGGGTGATAGGTCGTGGAGAGGCTGGGGAATTGTACCCGGCTTCTTGGTTTTTTGGAGCTGGGCCGAGCTGGAAAACTTCATTTGGCAGGGCAACAAGCTGGAATTCCTTTTGATTGTCCTCGAACGCTGGGGCCTTTGAGAACATTGATGAACATTCTTCACCTTGCAGTCTGACGGGCCGACGGGGATGTTTCGTCGTATCTTCATGATCAGGCCGCCCTGGCACAGCGCAGAGACAAGGCAATCGGCTGAAAAAGGTGAGGCATAAAGCTGCGCCCGGACAAAGGATATTGCTAAAAAAATAAATGAATGCAACAGACCCAAACTTCACCCTGCATGTCATTCGTCTATTAAACGCATGGAAGGGGGCGCAGTCAGTCTGCTTGTTCATAATTCAGTGTAGTTACGAGTGACTGTTTTTGGACGGTCTACCAATGTTGTTGCAAGAAGGGGCGCAATCTTTTGGAAGGTTATTCTGTGCTTCGGCTCTGCTTTTTGGTCTTTCATCAAGCCACGATGACAGCTGCAGCAGTGCAACACCGATGGCACATGCATACATTGCACCGGATAGATTGACAGATGGATCGACATGACTCTTCTGTTCCTACACGGCACCTCAGCATTGGCAACGCAGAACGCTTGACAGCGCCCGTGCACGTATTTGCATATGGAAAACATCAGCTCTTATGGCCCGCAGCAGGAAGAAATGCGCCAAGGCACTGTCAACTCAGTTGAAAACACTTCGCTATAAAGCTGCCGTTAGGACCGTTAGGCTTTGGGATGCCAGCAGGCTTCCCCCAAAGAACCTGTGATGCGCACTGTGATGTTTGTGAAACCTTTACCGCTTTTGCGCGAACCAACTCGATTCCGTGCGAATTTGTCGTGTCCTCCCTCGCTCATTTTGATTATTTTATTCAGGTTGGCTGAGTCTTGAGGTGGCCCAATTTTCGCAATCCAGGATCCAGAGCCCTTTGGATCAGACTGAATGGTTTAGTTGCAAGTGTGTCACTAATCAGGAATGTGAATACGTCGCTCTAGCTCAATGGGTTCCCCTACTCGTGCCCCACACCATCCCATAGCTGTGAGCATCTGTGAGCTGTGCTGAAGGGGGGCCCAATGATGGCCTGGCAGGCGCTTGCTGTCGCAAGGTGTGCTGCACTTTGATCTCAGAATTTGCATGTTCAATTCAACGCTGTTGAGCCTTTGATCCATATCCTCCATTCGCCAGAGGATTTTGCGAAAGCAAGAGCTTTGATTGCAAATGGTGAGGATGTGACCCAGAACAAGCCCCAGCTTCGTGACAAACCATTCAAGGGATGTGACACCAACGCCAACCCAAACACAAGCAGAGAGAGAGAGAGAGAGACACGGAGAAAGAGAGTGAGAGAGGGAAACATACATGTTGTGATGAGTGCTGTAGATTTTTCAATGAAAAAAAAATAATCCACTGCAATACCTCTGACCAGTGTTTTTCGCAAGATGTTATAAACATTGAGAGGGTTTCACATTGCCGCATTTGCCTAGGCTTGATGCTGACAATTTCAATGCGCCTTTGCACTGGGCCGTAGCATGCTTAGTTCTTGGAGACACAGGCTGAGGGGAAATTCCGGTTCATACCGAATCACGTGAAGTTGTATTTCGATGTATTTATATGTATTTCGCTATTCCAAGCCTCAAGGCATGGAACGGAAGCCACAGCCTAGCCTGGAGCCAAGCATAGTGCAATTGATTTTGGCCGTCGCTGCACCGTTTTGGGTGCAGCACTTGGTTCCTCCGTGTTTTGGCTGAGGTGGAAGAGCTGCTGCTGCACGGAGCACTGCTGCGGCAGCCCAATGCTGAAGGCTTACAGGCAGTGCACCTGGCGGTGCGAAACGGGAGATTGCCACCTGGCAGCAGGATTTGCCGAGCCACGACAAGTGGTTTGACATAGCCAGTATTTCCAGCACTTACCTGGTACTTTCATGAGCATGAGCAAGCCATGACACTAGTGACACTAGCAACACGCATTCCAAGTATGTTGCGTTTTGCTTAACAGCTGAACAGCTGTCAACACACTGCTTTCCAATTCTTTGCACGGTTCCTTACGGTTGGATATGTTGGATGGTACTGTAGCCAGTGCGACATGCTGCATGCCTTTGAAAGGTCGACTTTGGCTGCCTTGTGGCGTACGGAGCTCGCTTAAAAAAAGTAAACGGGTCACTCTTGTGATCTCTTGTGCATCTATAAGGTCTATAAGTTTGCAATAGTTTGCATGCAGCATGCAGTACATTCAAGTGCATTCAGAGACGAGTCTGCGACTTTGTTTGTGCAGCTCCTTGCCACCCAGGCCACGAACATGACATCATTTTCGCCACAGATTCAGAGGTACGCGGTTGCACAGCTGTGGGCACACGTGGGCACTGTGTTTGAGCCTTGAGCTTGTTCGGCACCTCATGCATTGTGCATTTGAAGTCCTACGAGCTGAGGGCGGAACACCGGTGCACCATGCAGCAAATTGTGGCTTTCTTCATGTTCTGGAGTGGCTGTGACCCGTCTCCTTACTTCATTCAACACCGTTGGTTGATGTTGCTTGTAAATCTTGTAAGAAGCTGGTGCTTCTCCAGGTATTTCAGAGGAGCGCCCATCAATGTAAGCGACGCTTATGGACTCACGCCGTGTTCCCAGCTTTGTTCGAGCACGATTGAGTGAAATTGCGCAGATTCGGAGGTTTCTCACCTGATGGCACACAGTGGAAACAGTTCTGTTCTGGCTTGGCTCAGGCCCTTGCATTGTGCAGTCATACACTTAGACTATCTAGACTTGTTGGAATCGATATGCAAACCGGACGTAACGGACAAGGTCATGGCGGGCAAGCAGCAAACTGCCCACCTTTTGGTGAGGCAGGATGTCAAATCCAAACGTAGATCATTGGTAATCAAACATGGCTACCTGGGAACCCCCTGTAAACCTGTAAATATAGGTTTATATATGTTTATATAGGTTTATACACATGGCTTGAATGGGATTATATATTATCTATGAGTCTATGATGTAAAATCCTGCGTGGAATCTTCCGATGTCAATGGCATAAGGCGTCGGGCTGACCCGTTGGCTGTGGACCTGAAGGGCCGTGAGCCACTCAGATTGACAAAGCCGAGGTTTGATGGGCAGAGCGTCTAGATGTATGCTATTTATCTGCATATCATATCTACATCTATTTATCTACTGTATACATGTACATACATTACACACACACAGAGAGAGATATATATATATATACGTATATATATATATATACTGTGACAACACAAACCTGCATCTGATGTGGACGGATAACCATCAGTGTTTTTTCCACAACAGTGTCATAACACAAACCCACATGATTTGGACGCAGCCATATGAATCAAATCTTGCCGTGCTGACTGCATGCAACGGTTTTTGTTTTTGAACGGGCCAGAAATGAATTTGTATGCTTTGAAATGCCGAGGCCATGCTTTGGCCGCACTCATTAGGTAATCTTCCTTGCTTCCACTCGGATTCAGTTGTATCAGACAGGTTTGGTTTAACATGACACGAATGTTTGCAATGAGCCTGCCGACATATAGTTTTTCTGCGGTCAGTCATGCAGCCGCCCTGTGGTGTGGCCGAAGGCACATATGATGCCAGGGTGTCAGACTTGAAGGAAGCCTTGGTGCAGAATGGCAAAGCACTGAAAGCGGTTTATCGGCAGAATGCCAAAAAACGGAAAACGTTGCACTGTGCCGGCCTTGGAGTGGCAGCCCGCAAATTGTGGTAGCCGTTTACATGCTGTCGAATTTAACATGGACTTGACTCTCCGCATGGCTTGTGCTTTGACAACGATATCCTATGGCAGCAATGGGCAGCGCACGGCAGCTTTGATGCAAGAGATGTTGCTGACGACACCGCTGCCAGATATGACCGCTTTGGATGACACAGCTTCACGCAAAGCGCAAGCCTTCCTGGCCGAAGCAGCCACGGAGCAGTGGGTGTATGACTGCAATACGAATCATGGTCAAGCACCTTCTGCGATGGACACGTTTTTGAAGTGGGAGGAGGCCTTCCATGGCCAGAAGCTGGACATGGGCGTGCCAAACAAACGCATGGTCAATAAGTGGGTGCAGCGCTGGCGGGCTCGGTGGGGCGTCCGCCGGAAGGTGCTGAAGCAAGTTGTTAGCAGAGACCCCGCTGTACTGCGAGACAAGGCGCGGGCCAGCCAACTTACAACATTTTGTCTTCTATTTTTGGGTTGGGTGGCTCCATTTTTGGGGCCGGAATATGGCACCAAAAATGGGTCCCCCTCATTTTTCATGCCTGTATAAGCCTACTTAATCCCTGTTGGGCGGTCCCATTTCCAGAATCTGGCACCAAAAATAGGCACCAATTTTCAATCAATTTATCCACTCCGGAATTATTTTTCCATATATAATAGGGCTTTGTCTTTCACTTCCTGCGGCGTTCGAGCAGGTCATGACATTTTGGCGGGCCATCTGCTATTGCCACAGCAGGTTCGCGGACAGGGAGCTGCTTTTTATAAATCTGGATGTGGCTAGCGTCGGCCACACCATGACACCGCCTATTGGATGTGTGGCAAAGCCACGGACAGCAGGTGGCAAACAGCCGCATACGCAAGTGCTGAAGCAACATGTTCGAGGTGCGTGGACTTATGTCAGCGTGATTTGCAACTGCAAGCACGTCCAAGGGAAGTTGCCTCATTTTCTCATTGGCGCCCAGGTGAAACTCACGAAGAAGCTCTTGCGCGCCCAGCGCGCTTTGCCACAAACTCGTTTGCGTGTTTGGCGGCAAAAGTCCGCTGGGACCTCTGCTGCCAACAGCGCCCAAATTCCCAAAGAGATCGCAGAAGTGTTGAAAAGTTTTCCGTCAAAACAAGGCGTTGTACTCCTTGATTGTGCGCCGGCACACCTGCCACGGCAGGTCATGGCAATGGCACGCAAGTGCAAGCTGCAGCTTATATATCTCAGCGCAGAGAATGGATTACCTACAGCCGCTTGATCTGCAAGGCTTCTCCCCTTTTAAACAATAATTATTTGAAAAGGAACCGCAGGAGTTGCGCTCATATTCAGAGCATGGTTTAGTGCCTCCTCTGGCCTGGCTATGGCAATGCATGCAAGCCCCACACGAATTTTGGGCAGCCCGGCAATGGCACGAAAGCTTCGGGGCAGTGGGCTGCAATGGCCCAGGTCAAGTGCACAAAGAGCTTCAACACTTGATGGGTGCAGGGGTGCCTTGGCCTGGGCCTGACAGGCCGACACCCCAGCAGATGCAGTGTGTTTGGCCACCGCGCGACGCCAAATGGCGCACGCGTATAAGGCCCTTTGTCTTTGATGCCGCCGCTCAGGGTGGATCCAAAAGATTTGCATACGTGGGTGGCACTGTAGGACAAAGATTGTTTTCCATGCATGTAATCACATGCACTACAACCAAACTGCATGCAGAGCAACTTTTCTCTCCCCAGCGACGTGGGTAAGAAACGGGGAGTTGGATCAATCGGATAGATCTGTCAACTGGTCGATCCCCCAGCATTACCACAGAACAATGGATGAAATGCCCCTGGATCTGAGGCTAATCACAAAACATCACGGATCGAGAACCAATTGATCAAAGGCACAAATCGATCTGAAAATCACTGCAAATCAAAAATCAATCGCATAACAAAAAAAAGAACCCCCGCTCACATGACCAGCTCATCACTTCACCCCGGGCAGATCGATACCAGCCAAGAGCCAGAGCTGCATCACGAACAGATCGGCGCACCATAGACCTTGGCGATGAGAGCAAAAGGAGGGTCAGAGCATGGCTTGGGTCTGCCAAAACCCTGCACAAGGATTTCCTGTGTTGCTCTCGATCGAGACCGCAATCACCACCTTGATGCCATCCAAGGTATAGTTGCCAAAGAGAGCTACATGGAATCCAGAGTTGGGTGGCATGACCTGATCACGCTCGGTCATGACATTGATCGAACTGGCCGCATTGCTCATGATCTCGGAGACCAGCCACGACTGACTGAAAAGGTGGCACGATGCGATCGCCACGCTTGTCCACGATTATTGATTGATCCTCTGCATCGGTCGCTTCAGTGATTGCCTCCGAGAACCGTGGCATCTGAACTTCATATGGGTTGTGAGCATTCGATCCACCCCCAAAACCACTTGGACCAGTAGCTGGAGTCCACCCTCGTCCTCCATATCCACCTTGACCTCGGCGGCTCTGATCGTAGCCTCGCTGCGAGTTGCGGGACATTGCACGAACAAATGTGTAAGATCGAGGAGCTGAGGGGAAATGCCCAGGCCCGAGATCAAAATTGGCCAATGTTAGATCGATCTAGAGCCAAAATGGCGCAAGATACGAGCGATCTCATGCCATCTTGACAGAGGGTGAACACCCTCAACTCACAATTGATCAAGTGTAATACTGATAAAATAAATGACTGCATGACTGAACTGCACATGTTGATCAACATGACATCAGCACTGATCAATGCAATGAGAGAATATCAAGGAAGAGAAGAACTGTTAGGTTGAACGAACTCACGATTGACCCACTTATCCCAACTTACCAGACCGATGATAAGTGGACATATTTCTGTGTGTGTATCTATAGATCTACATGCCTGTGCACCTATACATCTATACATCTGTCTATGGTACGAGAGCGTGTGTGTATATATATATATATATCATTTTTTTTTCTCTCTCTCTCTCTCTCTCTGTGTCTCTCTCTCTCTCTGTGTCTCTCTCTCTCTGTCTGTGTCTCTCTCTCTCTCTGTTTGTGTCTCTCTCTCTCTCTGTCTGTGTCTCTCTCTGTCTGTGTCTCTCTCTCTCTCTCTGTTTGTGTCTCTCTCTCTCTGTCTGTGTCTCTCTCTCTCTCTCTCTGTGTCTCTCTCTCTCTCTCTGTATCTCTCTCTCTCTCTGTGTCTCTCTCTCTCTCTCTCTCTGTGTCTCTCTCTCTCTCTCTGTCTCTGTCTCTGTCTCTGTCTCGGTCTCTGTCTCTGTCTCTGTCTCTCTCTCTCTCTCTTTCTCTCTCTCTCCCCCTCCCTCTCCCTCCCCCTCTCTCTTTCTCTCGCTCTAGGCTCATACACATGCAATAGTATGCACGGTTGATACTATTATGAACTACTATGTATGAATGTATGTTAACGTATTTTGCCAGTGTACTTTGAGGTGTTCCCCTTCATTGGGCTGCTCTTCATGGCCGCAGTTCACTCCTAGCCTCGGTGGGCCTTGCCGAGCTGAACGTGTATCCTCCAAAGACAGTTTGCTCCACTGGTCAGGTTCGATGGGAGGAATCGCTTGGTGGTGTCGCAACCCTGAACACGAAGGCGCACGACCCAAAATGCCAGAGCATGGAAAGCTGAGCAAGAATTCTCTGATGTGTTCCGATATCATGAGAAGTGTTGAGCACCATAACCAGATTGAAGTGTTGAAAACGCGACTCAGTGCAGGACAGTGCTGGGAAGAGACCTCTGCAGCTTACTCGGCGAACGGACGGATTGGGTTGAATCCAAAGAATGATATGAACACAGGGATGATGGAAAACACAAATTAGTGTGTAAAAATGATGGCAGGACGTGTGCATGATGCTACACCTTTTTTGCTTGGAGGTAAGGAGCTCACATTGAAGCAATACACCGATTTGTCGAGTCACACATTTTCCAAACTTGTACTGTCACATTTTCGTGCCAGGCGTGGAGCAGGTGGCAGAAGCTGACATCTACTAGCAGTCCGCCCGGCTTTTGCAGCCCCGGCTGATTTCCAATGAGTACTTCCGTTTGTCACAGGCATGTCCTGCTTCTTGCATCGAGTTCCACCTCCAAGTCAGGCATCTCTTTGGCACGAATTGCATGACAGTTGTGATGTCAGATTGTGACTGTCAGAGTCTCCTGATGTCAGATTGACGCAGTCACCAAAAATTAACTTGTTATAGGTATTAGTACCGATTATATATTCGTGCGCACATATGTTCCCAGTTCCCAGTTCGGTAGCCGCCTCCCTCACCCAATGGTATGGCGCCACCCCTTCCCCCAAAAACGTCTCCCATTTGCATGCTATTTGCAGCATTTCAGAGTCACAACGCTCCACTTGCAACCTATTTGCAGCAGCCATATACTTCCTACAAAATACCTCGGTACTGCCTATGGCCTATGCACTACCTGCATGCTGTCTACATATTATTACCTATATACATCCATTATCATCCACGTATTTCTTTTTCCACTTATGTACGGCCCTTAGGGTATCTATAAACTATTCATATGTGATCTTACTATCTTATTCGCATATTGCCCTTTACATGCCTGTGTGAAACATTGTGAAGCCTATATTCCACTGGTAGCGTGCCTGTATACCACCCCTGTCCTACTCATCTACGACTGATAAGCTGCATCACCCCACCCATCCTCGCCCACACCACAGGGGGAGGGCATGTGTACATATGCATGGCGAATCTGCACTAATCCCAAGATGATGCTGACCCTGTCAGTGTTTTCCTAAACCTGTTTGCATTGCTTGAATCACCGCTGAAATGGACGCGGGTCGGCCGGCGAGCGAGGAATGAGCGGTTGGAGGATCCACTGAGGATATGATGTGAACACGAACCCCACATTCACAATGTATATGTATGTGTACACATGTATATATGTATTTGCATACATATGTATATGTATGTATATATGTATAACTGACATATTTTATATACTTTCTACCTGTAATGCTATATATTCTACATATTTACTACCTATACAATGCCGATGACTATATGCTACTTACATAGCACGGTTACACATACTGTAGATGTACGCTACATACACACTACCATATAGTACCTATGTACCACTTATATCCACTTATATATTTGGATGCACCAGCTACTATCTATTCCCCATACAGCATATGCAGCCCCCTTCCCACCCCAACCCACACCACAGGGGGAGGGGGGATACCATGAACACACTGCATACACAACCACCTCCCGCCCCAACCCACACCCCACACAGGGGGGGCCAGAACCTGGATATATATATATATATACACACACATATATATATATATTTTAAATATACATACATATGCACACATGTATACCAAGAAATCATCATCTTCGAGAGCTATGTTTTTTAGTAGTTCAATTGAGCAATGTGTGTATATATATATAGATATATGTATCTGTATCTATATGTTACATATAATGCATTTACTTACTATATCAAAGATCGAAATTCCCACGCCGGCCTTGGTCCTGTTCTTACTATTTGCCCACATTTGTGCTTTCCCAACCTGCAGGGATAAGACTGGCCATTTATCCCGATGCTTTTCGATTTGGGTTTTATTAGTTTTGGCAATGTCTTGCGCACAGTGAGACTATGTTGTGTAGGTAGCTTTGTAGGAGTACATTCCGTCTGTACATATTTAATTTGGATTTGATGTTTTTTTTTTTGTTTCCTTTTGTTGGATTAAATTCATAATTTTCTGGCCCGTGCGAATTGACTACTGGCACAGCCTCACCTCCGAAGACTTTTGATGTACATAATGATAAAATAACAAATATATTCAACTACATTTATTTAAGGAATGAAACCCTGCACTCGCGGAAATACAGACCTCCCTTGGCCACCCTGATTTGTGCACTTCCACGGTTTACATGCTCGCGGGCTGATACTGTGATCTACTGTGTCCACATGCAAACTGCTGTTGCTACCCTTGTGGCCAACACGATTAGAAGACTGACCATGGACATTCGTTCGTATCTCGGAAGTTTGCGAACTAAACATCTTCTGATGACCAACAATATCACGCGTATAAATAAATGAAATGAATAAACAAATATATAAATGCATAGAAAAAAGGGAAACGTATATTCCTAGCATATTCCTAGCAAGATCTCAAACTTGAAAAACATTCCATCAATCCAACCATTATGTGTTCAGTACTGTACATGAATCTCAACTGTCTCTTTCAGATTATGACTGTCCGAGTGCTGTCAGACTGTGACTGTCCGAATTCTGTCAGATTTTGTTACCGTCAGAGTTCTTGTGATGTCAGATTGTGACTGTCAGGCTTCTTGTGATGTCACATTATTTCTATCAGAGTTCTTTCCTTGGCAGCCCTTCGCCATCATCATGGTGCTTCTGACTCCTCTCTTTCACTGCCAGGACGCCAGTTGGGGGAATGTGATTGTTGGGAGGAGTTTGTGGAATAATCTGCAACAAGTTAACGTGCAGAAGCAGACATAACTGGACCTATGGGCAAAATCAGTTGCCACCCACAAACACACACACAGTGTCCGAAATTGGCCTGGCTCTCATTCCACACTAGGATTTTCCATAGTTTTGAAGCCATGCGCAAGCCACGTGTGCGCAAACGGTCAGCCGGCTACTCGCCGCTCGTGGCCACCGTGTGTGCAATCGCTGCTGGTTGCCCAAGTGTAGTTTCTGAATGGAGCCAGCGGCTGAGAGTCGTTGATCTTCTGGCAGAACACATTTCTGTAATTGACTGAGCGACTCTGTGTTGCACTTTCCCCATCCATTTCCAGGCAGCTTGTGTTTCTGTTGGCCTTTTGCCACACGCTTGCAGGCTTTGCATCTTTCTACTCTGGAAAAACCAGATTACAGCAGGAGATGCAGGGAAAGCGTGGTTCTTCTGAGTCAAGACAGAACGGCAAAAGCAACAGATTGTTGGAAATGTTCAGCCGGCCGCAGTACGGCCTTATGAGATTCTATGAGTTGGCATGACTGCAGTGCTTGCATATAAGTGTAGTCATGTAACAGTTAAGTAACACTGTGCTTCCAGGTCCAGCTGCTTGGCATCAGCTTGGGACATGAAAACTGGCAGGCCAGACGTCGAGCTGTTTCAGAAGCCCAAGTTGCAGCAGACTTGGTACCTGAGCTCAACATTTGAAACGCATAGAATATAGATGAATAGAATAGAATATAATACAATATAATATAATATAATTATATTAAATTAGTTTATATTAATCCAATAGTTTCATAAAGGTAATCTCATAATCTGATAAAATCTGTACCTCAAATGCACGGACCACTGGATATCACAGATCTGGCGGATATGGGTTGCGTGCTGAGGCACCTCCAGTGGATCTTCGAAAGAGTCCATGGGAAGCCTTGCACGAGGCATACCAAATCGAAGGGAAGCGCTGCTGGGGCGAGGGCTTTGATGGGAAGATACCAGGCTACATTGCGGACACCTGGCTGAGACATTGTGAACTTGGGATTTCGCGATTTGTAGATGTCATTGTACTGTAGATGTTGCATGATGTTGCATGATGTTATGCAGATTTGACACAGGAGAGTTGTGAACGAAACAATGCAAC